ATGGCTTAGTCTTCATAAATGTCCCCGACTTTTTCCATCTAAGGTTGCAAATCCGGCCAAAACTTTACGTATGATTAGATCATATGAACGATCAAATGAAAACCAATGTTTAATGGCTTCAGAAAAAGGTAAGCTATCGTCATTGTCTGATTGGGCGCGATAAACTAAAGCAAGCACGATGAAACCTGGTGACAACTTTTAGCCCTGTCCCAGAGGGTTGCTGTGACCGGCGGAAAAGGTAGACGTCAGCTTGACGAGTCCGAGCAGACTTGGTATGTTTTAATTGTGGAGTGGAAGAATGAAGATATCTGGACCGCAGTAACAATATGTAGCAAGACCATCAACTTCAGACGTAGTTTGTTGCTGGGAGGCATGAGATCCACACTTTTGCATCCAAATAAGACCAGTAAAATACAAACAGTAAGCCCATGTCCATTCAGAAACTTTTCATACCTTATGATAAGCAGAGTATGTCGAGCCTAACAGAGGAAATAATAGCTGCAAGTTTTGCTTTTCTCCAGGCGGTGAGTGTAATGCTTAAATCCAGGCTTTGTTTTCCTCGCCAGTGAGACGGTGACACTTTCACTCGTTCATCTTGTCGACTTTTGCGTACTTATTCTTCTGTGCTCCATTCACAAGGCCATTAGGAGGCTAAAATGCTCCAGCAGCACTGGCACAGACGGAATATCATCACATTTCTTTAAATTTGGTGGCCCTGATGTTCCATTATTATTACTTAAAATGTTTTCTCTCCCTTTGGAATCTTTCACATACCCTGATATATGGAAAACACCATTTATTCTCCCTAGATGTAAATCTGGTTCAAAACGCTAGCCAGTAACTACAGTCCAATAGATATTACGCCTGTAGTTTCTAGAATTATGGAGAAAGTTACTAGGGAAAGCATTCCTCAGCACACGCTCAGTGGCAACATCACATTGAGTCAACATTGGTTCCTAAAATCAAGGTCCTGTGTAACCTGCCATCTTGACTTCTTTGACTTCATAACCACTATGCACGACCGACGCTAATTAGCCCTTGTACTCTGTCTCGACATTTCAAAGGCATTTGACAGAGTCGATCACTTGCTGTTAGCAAGTAAGTTGATGACTTTGGGACTTGACTATCCACTATTGGGATGGATTGGGTCTTTCCTCAGTAATCACACTCAGATGGTGAAGGTAGATTCACACACTTCAAAACCTAGGCCAATCACCTCTGGTGTAGTGCAAGGCAGTGTCTTAGGTCCCCTTCTCTTTACTTTTTACGTCAATGACATCTGCAGCTGCTTTACATACGGTAAACCATTCTTGTTTGCTGATGACCTAAAAGTTGCATGCACATTCACCCGTGATAACTTATCCCACTTACAAGCACTAATACAAAGGGTGCTCCACATAATATCTGCATGGTCTGCTGCTTGGAAACCTCAGTTCAATATAGGCAAATGTGGTTGGATATGTTTGGTGCTCCATCGGTGGATATCCAACCACATCTCCAGTCTACGAAACTTCCCGTTCTTAAAAGTGTATGTGACCTTGGACCGAGATATTCAAGGGACCTCACATTTTCTGAACAGATAGCATCACGGGCCTGCAAATCTAGGATGCTGATGGTTTGCATAGTTTGTAACTTCCACTTCAAAGAAGTCAAGTTGCTACTCTACAAAACTTGCGTACGTCCACCATTAGAATACTGCCCATTCACAGTGGTATCCGCATAAAAGACAAACATAAAACAGAGGGTGTCCAAAGGTATTTCACGGCTAGATTGTTAGGACACAACTGCAAACAAGACTACAGCTCCAGATGCAGAGCCCTTAGTCTAGAAACACTTTGGATGAGATGACTCAAAACTAACCTGACACTATTCTTTGATGTGTTACATAAGCACATGTTTACAGCCAGTGGTGAGTTTCAGTTCGAACACAACAGTTGTTATGATCTGCGCAACCACTCCCATAGCGTCAAAATGAAGTCGTTCAAGTCCTGCTTGCGCGCGAACTTCTTTGCCGTCAAATTCTCTCAGTTGTGGAACAGACTTTCAGCTGAAGTGAAGGCCTCCAAATCAACCCCTGGATTTGGTCGGTTACTGGCTGACTTCTTATCATCTGGTGACTTTTCCGGCTTATCGAATATACCAACAGTCTCTTTCACTACACTTCGTATACTCGGCTCTCTTAATGCGTAATGAGAGCCACCACACCCACATTGACCCTTCATATGAAGCGCTGAGGTAACTTTCATAAGTTACCACCTCAAACTAACGGCACATTGTGCCCCGCCCAACGTGGTAATCAAAAACAGAGGTCCTACACCACATGACAGCACAAAACTCATATTTTTAAACACTTTATAGAATAAGAATATACGATGAAAGCCATGGAAAGGGAAGTTAAGTAGGGAGAAACATGAACATAGAAAACACTCTCCTCGTTGAAATTCTCGCTTTCTTCGCCTTCTGCTTTGTCTGTTTTTTTCTCGTTGTAGAAAAATAATTCAGTTCTAAGCGTTGGCCTTGTTGCCAACAGAATGGACGACGGCTGAAACTACCCTTCATGGAGGGTAACCAGTTTTACCACGTTCAGAATACCCAACTACAACAAGCAGAAATAAAAAATATTCACTGGACTACAGCTTCATAACTGTCAAAATCTAGGATTTACTCATTATAAAAGTGACCAGCAAAGTCCAACACTTATCAACTGCAAGGCTATCACGGCCCGTAAAAACGAAGGACAAGATGTTCTGGAAGCCCATTTGGTGCATTCAAACAAGTCCCTTGCTTCTGGATGCTGGAGTTGGAAAAGTGAAGACATTTGGCTTTCAGTCATAATATTCACCAAGATTATGAATCTTTGTTGTGGAATGTTGTTAACATAGATGAATTATATAGTCCTGGAATCGTCATTGAAGTACAATATGTAAACAATTCACAAACTTTTCATCATTATCTTAGGCAAAAAGTACAAACTGTCACGCTGGAGGTATTAGCTTCAAGCTTTTTTTCTCCGGGTAATGCCTGTAGTGTCTAGATACAAACCTGGTTTTTTATTAGTCCAACTTGTAAATTTTTGCACACTTATTCTGCCGGGTTGTTCCATTTTATGAACATGCAGCACTTATATCTTCTAGCGACAGTAAGTGGGGATTGAGATTACCTTCCATGAAGATGAATGTAATCTGTAGATCAACTTATTCATGCCTGTAAAAATGGTGTGTGCCTGCATATTCAGCAATAAAAATGTTATTATTTTATTGCCACGCAATCCCTGCATCTTTCACTGTCTGAATATTCTGGCATTGGTATTGCCTGTCAAAAAAAGATGGGACCTGCATCGTGATCCACGGAAACCCACGAAAATGGCGTTCTCCTGAGCATTTCGTAATGTGCATTCGGTAATCATTATCAGTGTTACCAATAAACCCTTCTCCGCCTCCAGAGTGATGCATTGATGGGTGCCACTAAAAGGTAATCAGTAGTAGGCATAAACGAGCATAGTGGCATTTCACATAAACAATGAACAAAATACTGTTGAACACGACTTGGTGGCACACGTAATCGACTGTCACATGCGGCCTGCAGCTATGTCATTGAGAATAAGAGTAATCCAATGAGTGCCATTTTGCATGACTGATAAAAATGGAGGATCATTTCCACGGTAGAGATGCAACCAGTGCTATGAAAACCATGCATGCATCGACAACATAGGATAAGCTCTATCTGAAGGTAAGGGTATCAGTAGGAATAACTTATAATCGTACCGCGATAGTAACAAATTAGCATATTGTGCGGCACAAAAATTAATTATAATATGATCTGTGAAGCTATTCAGTCAAGCAATGCCGGTTGAATAGCTCCCCTCTGAAATTATCTGCCTTCTCGATTTCTTGTGTTTCTACCGGCCATGGAATACACACTAAGTTTCTTGTTGAGATAGCCACTGATTCAGAATCTATCATGCACGAACATGCACCAAAACCATGTCTGTAAACAAAGCAGAATAACTAACAGTGACAACACAAGTGGCGAAAAAGCAGCATTTACATATTAGCTATCATTAAAGCTAGATTTTTAAGGCAGACGAAATGAAGTATTATATAAAAGTCATATTTCTTATACGTGAACACTGCTTGTGTACAGAAAGTAGGAGGATTCGCATTTTTCTACCCGCATTGTCATTCGTAGAATGTTGGCGAACTCTCATTTCTGTGGCGCGACGTAACTGCGATTTACTATTTGATGAGATGTTTGAATTTATTTCTAGGGTATCACAATAAAACGACGAAAATGAATTCGGTGTTATCTACACTTTGGCGCATCACCAGTGGTGGTGTGCACGGTGGGGCTATTCAGCCTCTTTTACCTATGATCTGCACTAACGGTGTTTGCAGCAGCTTTATTCCCGTTGGGGATTTTTATATACCAATGAACCAGATATCATCCATTGCTGTTGTTACTGTAAAAGACTTGAAGTGCTGAAACTCTTCTTATCCTATCGCACATGCAGAAAGTTTTAACAGTGCCATGCGGAATTCTGTGGAACTACTTTCAAAAGCTACGTTCCGTCTCTTTTCTTACTCAGTGGTTGAAGCACCTCAAAGAACTTAGAAAGAGAATTCGAAAGCAAAGGACGAGGATTTGTTGTCTCATCGAGTAATCAGCTGGAACCGTATCTCAGAATAGGTTTCAGTCATCAGCCGACGGTTTCAAGAGGGGACTAAACGAGCGTTGATATTTACTAAAGAGCATCTAGATAGGTTCACGGTCTTCTATTCTCAAACTACGAATCTAAACTTCGAAAATAATTTGATATACGGAGACAGCGTTTCTCGAAAGCGGTTGTCAACGCTTCAAGTTATGCACTCAAAAATCTGCATGCACGTCTTCAGTATGCAAATTTAGCGGAAAAGGAACAACAATGAACTAACCTAATATGTGGATTGTCTTACATGAACAATCTGTCAAAACTATTGGGTTCCGAATATAGTCTCTAGGTCACTCAACGCGTTCGTTTGAGAGTACGCGACGTTGAGAAGTATGGATTTTCATTTTAGTACTTCAGGGTACAGAGGGAAGAGGTCAGTCCTCGAAACTGTTAGTAACCCCTCTTTGTAGAATGGGGCTCTTACAAGGGGTCCTGGTCTTCATCAAAATACTGAAAGTGATATCATTTTATGCCACATATGATTTACTAAGAAATTCAAATCCCTTAAATCTTCTGATCTGTTTGAAATTTGTGTAAGTTTGTGGGCTCTTCAGTTTAGATTTTTAGTGCCGCTGCTGTTTTGTTGCCAGTGCAAAAACCACTTTCCGGACCTAGAATAAAGTTCTCAGAAGTTTGTCCATTGTTTGTGTATATATGTATATACGCATTGAATTTTAGTGGGTTCATATTGCAAAATACTCTTTTATGCGTGTATTGATTGATGCACTATGGATAGAAGGTCTTATTTTGTGTGGCCCTTTCAGGTAAGGAAATAATGTTCTTTAACTGTGTTTAGGTTTATTTTGTTGTTCGAGCACAGTGAGTTACTTGTCCTTGCTGCAGCTAGTACAGTTTTCTTCGGTTCGCAATGCACAAAGAAGGTACGTATTCTCTTTGTCGCAACGAACCTTGCAGACTAGGGGATCGGTATTTTTTGTTATAGGTGTAGTATGTGTGGCGTTCTTTGACCATGACTATACACATAGGGAGTTGGAGCATCGTATCCTTTTTACAAAATTTAGATGTATCGCACAATGTAGCCTGCTTAAGTTTTAGGATGTCAGTGAAGCGATGACTGGTTGGTTCAGGTTCCGGTTTGAAACCTAGACGTACCTGGGCATGGATGGCTCTCGTAACAGTTGTGGCACGCAATCTGATATTAAAACATGTACCAGTCTAAGTTGCATTGTTCATTTTCATATATCTTGATACCTATACGGCATGCACCTTCACACTTTTTGATATTTTATGTGATGGATTTCTTGAGAATCATTGCTCAGCTTTCATGCCTAGCATTTCCCTGTAGGTATACTTTCCTTAGCTATTTTTCTTAATTTACTGTAGCTGAAGGATTACATAAAAGTTTTCTTATCCACCATTTATACGAGATGTTTGTAAACTTTGGCCTTTCGGATCACAAGGTGAGAATACACTTTTGTTTTTGATTTGTCTATAGAATAAATTCCACGAAGTACCACTAACCTTTTGGCCGCATAATCCCGTGTTTTCGCGCGGCACGATGCGGACCACACAGCATTAGTGTTCTTTTTTATCACGAATTCTGTTTATCTACATCATGTATACTTGCTCAAATATTCTGATAAACAAATGCATCCAGTTAGGGCAGTGGTGTCTCTAGATTGTAGCTATCTCAAAGTGATTGAGGCAACCAGACAACTGGAACATTGATCACCTCATCGGAATACACGAAATAAGACCATTAAATATAATGAGGTACTGAGATTAAAGGCGAAATCACTACATGAAAAAGTAAATTGTATGATTACTAGCTACTGTTTATTTGTGTGAACTTTTGATCACAAAAAGAAGAAAACAGTTAGTGGACTCTATCTTTTTGACTAAATCACCTTGACGTTTTCAGTTCAACAGTTTTTCCGAATATTACGTGAAATCTGGGAATAGCAAGTGTAATGAGATATCTAACATCAGTAAAAGAAATTAACTACGTCTTGAGGCTTCGATTTGGCGAAAGGTCATTTCTGTGTGTGACTTCATATTGTTTTGTTGCAGGGCTAGTAATTCTCAATATTACCTGATTGTTTCTTCAATGTATTGGTTATTTTAAATCGCTTTAACAATCTCACATTGTACTGGGGGTAATTGGAAAGATATTTCCAAATTAATTTTCTAGTTTCAGCATCACCATTTATTTTATGTCTAAAGGATAGATAGTGTGTACGTCAAAAAGTTTATTCTTGATGCTTCGTTTAACGAACTGAACTGATAATCACTGTCGCTTACTAGTAAAATTATCTCTTCATCATTGTCACTACTCAAATGAAGTTTCTAGCACACTAAGGTCTCGGTATTTTGAAACGTTCACCGACTTGTGCTCTTGATTTTCAAATGAAGATTCATGGGTTGAAACCCCATTCTGCTTACTTCGGCCTGATAACCAAGTAGTAGTATAAACTCATATATACGGCTCATAAACTTGTAAATTAAACTGTGATGAGTTACGACGGTCTAGGAAAGCATGTGATGCACATATTAGTTTATGTCTAGTCACATCATTTCTAATGATATTCCCACTGGTTATTATTGTTCTGTGACTTTGACTAGTAGCGTTATTCTATTGGTTGTCATTTAAGTACAGTCCAGTTCATGCTACTGTGACTATTGTAAGTGTACAGCTATTTAATACTGTGAGACTGAGCTTGTATTATGTGTCTTCGAAACTGTTTAGTGGACTCGTTGTGTAACCTGATTTTGGGACTGCGTGAAATATATCTATTGTAACTACAATCCTTGTTCTGTGTACGTAATTGTAGAGTGCTACTGCTAGTGAATACTACGGTTCGCACTAATTCGTAATGCAGCGCGAAAACAGCTCAAGTCTTATAATTATTTCAGTAGAACTCTAGCGAAGTACCAGTCGCTGTTTTGGTAATATCCAGTCAAAGAGGCCAGGCTGATGAAATGAAATCACTCAGGTACATTTGGTGGTTCTCATTGGGTTTGTAAACCTATGTTTGGCAATGAAGTCATCAGAATTACAACTGATGTAGCAATCACTAGATTTAAGCTTAGTTTTATCAAGTGGTTTATCTCTTATCAGTAAAGTTGTGTTTTTGTATAATTAAAAGTTATGTAGTCTGATAAACACGTATTTTTATCCTGAGTTTTTCATTCAGTGTTATCACACTGTGGTGTGGTGACTGACATCAATTATGTGTCGAGTTCTTGATCGTTCGTTACCTGCTGATTCAGTCAATTTCAATGACTTGATTCAGTGGTGTAGAAATTTACTTCAGTCATATTATGAAAGTTTTAGCCCTACTCCACCATTTTGAAAAGCCGGCTGGTGTTGGTCACCCTTAGGAAATAGGCATGAATAATTGTCTGTTACTTGGTGCCTGTTCATCACCTATTCCAGATATGAACTCCTCTATTTGTGTTGAGAAACTTGCTTACTCATGTGTCTGCAGTTCAAAGAAATATTTGATAATACGTATATTCTTCAACTCATATGCTCAAACTTGCAATAGACGGTGGATAGTCAAAGTAGTTTTACTTGTTTATACTTCGTCATTGAACAATTTGCTCTCCTTTTTAGGTTGGAGTTGTTGTACTAATTAGTGCAGTTTGCATGGATGCTGGTTTAGCTGCAATTTCAAGAACCTTAGTTACGTGTGTTGGAGGTGCAAAACGCCTGCATAGCCTTTCTGCGTTGATAAGCTTCATCATCCTAATTCCACTATATCTGCTTACTCATTTTTACTTCGGCGATTCTCTTTCCACTAAGGTAACTTGATTCATGCTACGTTTTTAGTGATATTTTAATATTCTGTCAGATTTCCCTAGTCAGGAGGCTTTAACACCATAACGAAATTTAGGTTTACAGGTGCTTCAAGTGTAGTATAGTAGGGGGCGGATAAGTTCATGTGTGTATTTACTACATTAAGATTACAGATGATAGCTACTATCTTGCTGTGGTGGTCGGAATTGCATATGACAATGACCAAATGATCTACGCTGGTTAAAACTATTGTTCCTTAGAGACCTACCACTCCAGAAAGATATGCATAGTGATAAGACTAAGAGCAGTTACCGCAAGAGTGTAAGTAGGTCACACTTCTGGTCTTATGGAGTGTTACAGCACTATGATCCTTCCCACGGATGACCAGCATTCTATGCTAACTCTGCCTTTACCAATAGGAAAAGAGGGTTAGAAAATTTTGTTCCGAAAATGGAACACACATTGTGCTGTGATCTTTCGGTGCTGGTGCCATACGTTTTTTGGTCCGAACATAGTATGGTCAACTCGGATTTGGAAACTCGCCGTAATGCCATATGTGGTTTGCCTTGAGCAGATTTCAAATTCACTGTGCAGTCATATATCTAGGTCATCTAGACCATCCTTTCCAATCCACTTTCTTTTTCATGTACCTTGCATGGTGTGGAAACCTGAAGGGTGTCAACCACCTTTCGAAGTTGTGTCAGTACTCAAGCATTTTTTTAACCTTCCATTAAGTCGCCCTCTAGCATTCTTGGATATTGCTGTTAATAATTTTACGTCATTTTTAGTTTTTCCTATCTCTGCAGCTGATGATAACGGTTCACTTTACTGCGTATCATAGCTTTCAATGTCCACACCGTCCAACTTAAGCAGCAACCTTCACTGGTAAAAACTTTGACACCTTAGCCCATGGTCGTATGTTGTGGTCATGACTTGCACACACGAGAGCCAAGTGCTGTTATTCATTTAGTATCACCTGGCTAATATGTTGAATCTGTGAAATTTACACCTCAAGTTTCTGTAGATTTGTTGACTAGTTCTCTTGGTCTTGCAGGTATGGTTTTATCGTTGTGCCAAGGTATAAAGTGCACTGTTCGAATGGATTCTAGTTGATGGTTGCCTGTGCTATGTTTGACTGAATAGCGTAGTGAAGACTGAAAAAATAGTTAAACTTGCCGTTATCTCTTTGTAATCTCTACTTGCCCATCCGCTAACCTCAGTTCTGATAAAGTCAAGGATGATTTCTATTAAAGCTGTTTAGTCTCTTACTGAAAGCCAAAGTTTTAAATGAGGTAATTGTAGCAGGTGATTTCACTGCACAAGTGATTAGTTAGGCAAAAGGCAATAAGGTGGTGCTTTCGAAACCCAACTGAAGAAACAGGTAATGGGATCGCTTACTGCAGCTGTGCTGAGACAGCCATCTATTTCTGGCATATATGAACTTCAGACATATAGATAAACATTAGCATGGCGTCCACTGAATTCGATTCAATCTATGTATTTTTCACCCTACTGCTTTATGCCTTGATGTAATGATATGAGTTGTAGCAACTGGGGACACTATATAACAATGCCAGGCCCCACGCTAGTATTGACTGACTTGCATTTTGTATATTTATGGTGTTGATGTTAAGATAAGATGACCTCGTTCCACTAACTGTGCGGAAGCTAAGTCCCACAGGATATATTATTCTTCCGCTTAAAAGAAAGATCGTAAAAATGTTTCTACTTAGTAGTGATCACACTTGTCCGAGTAATACTTTTTCATCTGCTTCTAGAACAAATGCTGTTATGTAGTATGGAGCACAATTGAGAGTATTTAAAAAACAAATCGTTCCAATGAATTTTGTTTTAAATCTGGTATACTACACATTATCAACTGTGATATCGAAATCGTTAACAAATATGCTAAGGACTTTCTCTCTGTTATATCTTTCTTTAGGAACCATCAGATTTATTGAAGATGGTAGAAAGTGTTGATAATCTTGTTCCTACGAATGGTGGTTCTCAAATTGCTTCTCAAGCAGAATGGATATTTTGGATGGTTTGTACAAGTGTTATCCATGTGCTCGACTTCTACATGACTAGCTTGGTTAGCAGCCGTCTCGGAGCACATTCTGTGACTCGCTTAGCTAAAATGGTCGTTGTGTTAAGCGGGTTGATATTCAGGTTATTTGGAAGTGATTGATCATTATTTCTGTCTTGGTTTTCATGTATATTATGTAGCACTTCTGAATCCTGTGGTATACATTCGATTAAAAATCCTGCCTACATATTTGTAACCTTGTACTACTTTATTTAAAATGCGATCTTGACACAACATGGACACTAAGGGAATCAGTCACACAAGATAATATTAGACAAAAGCTTGATAAGGAAAAAAAGAAATAAGAACGAAAAAAATGCAAAAATGAATCATTCCAGAAGGGGTTTCAAAGATATCTAAGAAGCATTCACTGCCTTAATTTTAAGCAATAGAAGAATCAGAAAAGCTGTGGCGTAACCAACACTGGTTTCATTACTGAACCAAATCTGCAATCTTCTGAAGCCACTTAGTTGGGTAATCTCTTGGACCCCATCCAGAAAGTTGTGGGGCACCTACAGATGCTTAGCCATCTTTCATCCCATGATTCCACGTCATACCTTGAACACATCACCTCTTCCACCCAGCTTCAGAGCAAACGAATATTGACCGGTCACGACGTTTTGCGGGCCCCCATAAGTATCTCTATGATAAAGTTGAGTGTGAATGGAAAGAGTGGATATCCTTGACGGACACCACTTGACGTATGCAACTCACTTCGTTCATTTGTATTTATTAAGGTGCTTATTTTCAGTTTCGGACTGTTTGTTGAATTGAAATGGTATAATATGACTAAACTTTCTATTGTGTGGCTGGCAGTTAATTCCGTAAACTAATGGACCATACGTATATTGATATTAGTGTTCAATGCACTCACCCTTAACTAAGCTGTTTCCAAAGGTATTGTGAGCACTAACCGTAATCCCGGGAATTAAGTGCTGAAAATGGTGAAATCACTTGTAATGTTTGTGAGACTATGTTTCCACATTTCCTTCGCACTGCATGCAAGTTAGTCTTTTATCAGTTTTAAAAGGAAATTTGCCAGTTTGAAGGGTACGAAATTTTTCTACTTGCTAGACAGAAGACTATAATTGTTTCACAAGCATGCAAAGAAAATCACCATACAGTTATATTGGTATAGTCTTCACTCTCTACCTTTTATCCTTTGGCTGTCTCTCTGTTGATCATACTGATTGACCATCTCTTGAAGCCTGTAGGTTGGGTGAAACCTCTTGATTGCCAATCACTACTTAGAGTGATGCACCACATAACTTTTCTAAAAGGTGGTCCTTTGTCAAAGTGTCTTAATTCACCTTTTTGTCTGCATCTGTCTGAAGTTCTGATATCGGTGAATCTAATAGGTATAAGGCTAATGAACATTGATGGTAATTATTCTACCAGTGAAACGTTTTTTAGCAAGTACTATGTTTAAGTAAGGATTCCGTATCTTCCTACGTAGGCCACATATATGTTATATGATTGTACTTGTTTTGCATATATTTGTACCACTTTTTATTTCTTTTCAGAAAATATTTCTTATATTTAGGAGCTGAACATTTTCGGTATCTTTCAGTTTTTTTGACTTAACAGCCTATGATATCAGTGGCTTGTAGATATGAATACTGTGGTGTGTCAATTAATATCATTTCTGCTTTCTGTTTGCTTAAAATGTAGTCTTTTCTGGGTATCGCCGGAAGCACTGGGGATAATGGCTACAAATAATGGTATTCGTGCACATAGCTTTCTACTTCAACATCAAATGTCTGTCGGAGTAATCATCGCAGTGGTTTGCATTTTGTATGGTAAGTACTTATGAGTCTGTCAGCTGATTAAAGGCAATGGATAGGAAGCCCGGGACTTAGGTTTCGTCCTCGTTAGGACTCATCACCCACCTCAACGGTACTAGTGTTACGTCTTAAAGTCGAATCCGCATCACCTAGTACTGCAGTCAGCGACGTGACCATTTCGGCCGTGATTGATGCCCTGTAGAACCGTATTAGGCTCATTGAATGGTCAAATAGCCTTTGAAGACGTACTAAGAATTTGGTAACCACTATTAGGTGGTTACTGTTAATCTATTCTTGCTGCAACCCCAAAGTCTGAATAATAAACAAACTGCACATATCTATCACACAACGAGTATCGTACTATTTATACTTTGGTGCCGACAGATTCTATCAGTAATATTTTACAGTTTGACTAAATTCCACAATTCGTTAGATGGTATGTTCGCACTGCAAACTAGAGCAAGACGTTGTGTGTCATTCCTTTAATTACTAGTAATCCATTATCCTAACTTTTACACAGCTTCTGAATGAATGTTTGTGACATAACCTTCAGAAAACCTAGTTAGCAGGAAAACTATCGTTTGTCAACATGAACAAATACTATTACCGTATATCATATTATTTATGAAACCCAAGGATCGAAAATTCGGTATTTTAACTTAGCGAATGATGTAATTTATCAGTTTTACTGCTATTTTAAAAATAATTGTGAATATAGTGTTCGAGTAAGTTGCCTTCTGTCAATTTCACGGTTGATTTGTGATAGGGTGAATGTCAATAAAATATTTTATCTAAACATCCACTTTTTAAGGTAACACTTATCACTGATTGACATCAGTTAGAAGACCATTGAAAACCTGGAAGCACTGGACAACTGTTTCATCCTAGTATGTAACTCCTCAGCAGTATGCATTCACTACTCGGTTAAGGATCGAAATTGGGACCTTCTGATTTCTCGGTAAACACGTTAACCTTTCAACCGCTGAATTAGAGTTCAATGGTCCACAGTTTCTTATTCCTGTCAGTCCAGGATATAGCGCTACTATCATCCGTCATCAGCTGGCATCAGCTTCACTTCCGACTGGTTGACCCTCAGGTCACAGCTTTTCATTAGAACTTCGGGATGTCCATCTTGAAACATCCTCACTAACCTCAACATACATTTACTTAGATAATCAGAAATATGTGAATTAATTATTCTAGTTTCTCGGTATGCCAGTTTGCTGATAACCGTTACACTTGAAAAACATTCGTGTGAATTAATCTTTTTTATCCAGAATTTTCGTATGAGACGTAAATAAGCTTTTAATTTTTTTGACACTAATTAGCATTCGTAAACAGGCACCAGCATATTCAGTAACATTTATAGCAATATCCTTGCATTGTTGCTGACTTTTGCATTCAGTGGATGAGTGGAGACATTTTATGATAATCACTGAAAATATATAGCTGTAAAATGATAGGTGATTTCGAGTGTGAACTGAGCGTTCTTTAAACTTCTTTCCAATTCTCTTTCTCCCTGAATTTAGCTTCAGACCTTTTAACTACGACTAAATCTGGTTATGGTCCAGATGGTAATTCAAGCGGCCATTTTATTGGTTATTCAATGGCTGGTCTACCCTTGTTTACTGCTGGACAAACGCCCACACATGGTTCTGCTTTGTTGGCGAATCAAGAAGAAATTGGATTGTGGTATCATTTACGGGCTACCTTTCATGGAATTTTAAATGGACAAGCTTCACGTCGTATTTTTGCTTTCCTGTGTTTGAATTTGGTAAGAAATATATTTTGACTAGTTTGCATACTGTATAGTTGATAACTATTCTGCACGATATTATGTAGCTTCTTGTTTTCATCTTCATTCTATATGAATATGTTCTAATTAAATAATCAACCTACATATTCAAGTCATCATAAACATTGCCTTCTATGTAGGGTAGAATTGTATCTTCAATAGGACAGTGTCACTTTTAGTTCTTGCAGTTTGTAAACGGACTTTATCAAGGGTTGAGAAGTCTGAGTAAAAGAAAAGAATACTTCAGATTAGAGCTATTTAGCATTCACGCGTTCACGTGATTATTGTGGTACATTAGTGCAATTAAACAATGAAGTCCCAAAACTACGTTATGTTAGTCATATTAAATAATAGCACGAAGGAGAAATTTAAGCGTTAGAGTTGTTTTTTAGCGGAATTACTGCTTCTTCCTGTTAGATGTACTGTAAGCTCCTTTGGATTATTATTACTATTATTATTATTATTATTATTATTATTATTGTTCTGTACTAATCATTATGAGATGAAGAGATTTAATGCATTGAATCATGATAACTGGTGATTTCATGAGATTTTGCATTTGTAAAATCTGCTGTTTGAACCGGGTGACCACCGAGAGCATTCCGTCATCCCAGGCCTCCAACAGTTATTTTACTTTTCCCAATGGAATATACTTTTTAAAATACATAATTTCCGATTGTTGTTTGACATGCCAATATATACTGTCTTAAGCTGAAAGTCAACTAGAATGTCAAGTTCATCATATAGTATTGCTAGGATTATTTTGGGGTAGTTACATCTCAAATCGGTTTTCACTAAAATAAAACCGTATATTCTTAGTTACGTTTGGATAGATCAAAAAAAAACTTGAATTGAGATTTTTCCCCCACCATTTTGAGGACTATTTTCGGGTTTTTTTTAATCAACTTATTTTACTCCACTTCACAATAAATGGAATTTAATCCATTTTTGAACATGCATTATATACTAATAACGGGTTATTGTGTTCTTATTTTAGGCTTTTACATTTGTGGAACTCTTCTATGGAGTGTGGACTAACAGTTTAGGTTTGATTTCTGATGGCTTTCATATGTTGTTCGACTCAGCAGCGCTTGTAGTAGGATTATATGCTGCAGTTGTATCACACTGGAAACCGACTCGTATATTTTCTTATGGGTAAGTTTAGTGTAATGATTTTTATGTATTTGTTTATTTGATTCACCATGTGTACACTAGGTTATGTTACCCATTTGTGAGTAATCGGTGCAGATCATTATTATCGTTTATTGTCTTAAAGTGTTTCGTATGTAGTCTAAAAGGTAATGAGGTTTGACTAGTGGTACTTTTAACACGTTATTGCACATTACCGGAACCCATTGAGAACATATACATACAACAACTTGAAACTTTTTACAAAATGACATTGATTCCAGCTGAACTTCCAAGCCGGAAATCAATAAATGAACACAAATAACGCGAACGAATGAAAAACAGGCAATTATAGTAGTAAGCTGTTTGAAAGTCAAGAAAGGGTACATACACTGAATGCACTTGCGCTGATACGGTTGATTTTGAGCAATGGCACGTAATTTTTCTAACCATTGTTTCCTAACATTACGAGGACTGAAGTTGAAAATATGTTTTACGTGTACATCAGATCAACAGTCAGTGACTTTTAAATTTTCGAAGTAAATTTAGGCTTAGACTGGTTTAAAAAACATTTTGTGCATATTATTTGTAAGCAGATGTTCATTTCATAGTAGTAAATGGATTTCAAAAGGGTGCCTTATTTTAATATGATTGTAAAACTTGGTCTCTGTGGTAGAATGTAATTCCATATCACTGTGTGATATATATCAAATATCATTTTGACTGTCTGAGCCGTGCTTTGACAGACTAGTATTGTTACTAGGTCGTGAATAGACGTGAAGTGAAAATCTGGTCAGCAGTTGGGCCTCGCAACTCAGTTGGTTGAGCATCGTGCCGGAAATCTGGTGGTCACTGAGTCGAATACCACCGGACCCAAATTTTCATTTCACCTTCAATCATCACCCTGTATCAATACTAGTCTACCAAACCACAGCTGTCTCTGATATTCAAAATGATAATATGATGCCCCATCTTTCTAATTTAAGTAGATTTGGATTGGGATGAGAAGTCCTGACTGGGCAGCCAGTGTGAGTACAATTAAGCAGTAGTTACGCGTCACGAATTCACATAGAGGTCGGGCGAAACCCTTGGTAATTGAAGTGAAATAAAAAACTGACCAGCAGTGGGACTTCATAGCTCAGTTAGTAGAGCATCAGGCAGGAAACCTTGTCACTAGTTCGAATCCCACCGCGGCCCGAATTTTCATTTCACCTTCAGTCATTACCCAGTATTAAGGTATCAAAGAAACAACTCTGATGTGAAATCAGTGCTTTATTTAGGATTGTATTTTTGATGTAAGAGTGAAACATTTAGCATTCATTCTTCCGTATTGGAAAATATTGAGGCAATATGATTGTGTACTATTAAGGCTTATAGAGATTAGTTTTTACTTACTCGGTAGTCTTATGTTTAATAATATTTATGAAAATTTTTACTTTTTCTCTTCTGAATTTCTGAAAAGTCGGTCTGATGAAATTCAAAATAGAATGGTGTAAGATATCTAGGATTATTTACTCTTATTTATCCTTAAAGTATTTTGTCTGGCTGCGCTATTCGATATGGTGTTAGGTGGAAAGTTTTAATAGCAGTTGGGTGGATAGAGATTATGTCCAAATTAGTTTTGGCTATTTCACTTGTCTAATTTTCTGTTCACTGACATTTGTCTGGTTTGTTGTTTGAGAAAGTGAGGGCACATTGAGACTTGGGCTGGCACATATACCGACTTGTATCTAGAATAACTGCACACTACAATAGCTAGTCGAACTGGATACGTAATTCACAACTTGATACTGTGAAGTCATTGTGATCGATTTTTTTGATGATTTCACCACCGAAAGGAGTGACTATCCACAGATTAAGCTGCCAACCAACTGTTCATGTATTTCAAGTTGGGATTTATTACGGAAGGATATCAGTTGGAGAATCATCGAGAATGTGAGAGCACTGGAGAGCTGTTTCATCCTAGTGTAAGGCTCCTCAATAGTCCGCACCCATGATCCCGCTAGGTTTTCAGTGATTCTCCAACTGATGTCAATTCGTGATGAATACCAACTCAGAATCAAAAAGTAAATCAAATCCCCACAAACCTCCCAAATGAATATCTGAGCCTTTGTTATCCAATTATATGCAGATTGAAAGCCCGAAACAATACAAACAGATACATTCAGACATGACCAAGACTAAATAACTATTATATGGTCTTCAGATAGAAATATTCAATCAAGGGTGGTATGCAGGTTAGTATACAGCTAGTAACTTCTTAGCAGTATATGTGAGGCTAATTTTATCTTCTCTAACAGGTTATGAGTAAAGTATGCTGTGCATTTTTCCCTGTTAAACGCCGATGTTCTTTTTTTGATGAAAGGATTGATTATAGTGCAGCAGATGCTAGTGATATATTCAAATAATCTGGTATTAATTAATACTACTGAAAATGAGGTGGACTAGGTCCCATCTTCAATTCCATTTACTTTATGAGTTTTGCTATGAATTTGTATCAAAACTTATCCACATATTTATCATCTTTTGTTTAGTTGTAGGAAAATGTAAATGATACACATCATTTGTGTTACTATTGCACTGATACAAACTTTACTTATTACTTTGTTTGCGAAATACCTTCTTACAAATCTAACACCGTGTGAAAGTATTTCACCTTAAGCCTAGTGCTCATTCCTAAATAACTGTCACACAAATACAGTTTACGCTTAATGTTAGTTCACTAACTGCGTTAGTCTTATATATTTGTATTTTTCAATTGAGACCATCAGTGTTTCATTGAACAGGAAATGAATTGCCATTTAGGGTGGGGTATTTCTTGTAGTACTGTAAACGTGTTTTCTTAATGTTTTTTTTACTGTTTGCTAACATTTCTTCTTGAGACAAGCAGTCCGAATATAAAGACTGAATAATGTTTTTTTTTGGAGTTTACGATATTATCAAGAGGGATGTTTTATACTTATCGATGCGAGATTTGATGCAAAAACGTGTGATAGGTCACGGGGTTACGTAACATCGAGAATTAATTTTTCGCTAGTGCATTTTGATGACTTCTGTTGACGTGTTGGTGAAACTAGCTGACTAGAAACAGATGAACCTACTTGTTAATTGAATGGATATTGCTTTTTGAACGGATGGTTTCGACGAATATGAAGATGATTTTCGCGTTATGAGTTAAAATAACGTCGAAGTTAGCAGTGTTCGTTGGCGTTCCATTTCAGGATATTCTAAGAGTTGCGGTCTCCATATATCGTTCGTCACATTCCAGAAATATTCGCGATAGCTTAATATCTCATCTGTATCACTATTTAAAGTTTTGGTGATAAGTATTTTTATCTTGGAGATCATCCATGTACAGTATAAACGTCATTGTTACCATACAGATTGAAAGACATATCAACTTATATTACGGACTAGTTGAGTTGGAAATAGTTATCCTTTGTAATTGACTTCAAAGGTTTAAGATATAAAATACTTGTCTTCCTGTCGGAGAGTCTTTCATTTGACCTGACGACGATTGAGTTCCCACTTTTGAGGAGTTCTGGCACAACAAATGTATTCTGTTTTAAGTTTCACAAGTTGTTTAACTGATGTGCACATGAAACGTTTGTTTGAATCAACAGATTATTCAATTAATTTGATCATAGTCATACGGTCATCTCTTAACAAAATAGAATTCATGATAGTATGTAAGCGTAAATTATTTTTTAATCATTGTAATTTTCTGTTGTTTTTTATGCGCTTACAGATACAACAGTGCCGAAATTCTTTCTGGATTCGTTAATGCATTATTCTTGTTAGTAATATCTGCTTCAGTGTTTGTTAATGCAGTTGTACGAATTCACCGACCTCCAGATATTAAAACAGACAAATTATTGGTAATTTTAATATGGTATACGTTTGCGACTATTTTTCTCCTAGTAGAGTTTTATTAATAGGTCACTTAACCCTGTAATTGAATTGAAAAGTTGGTCCGGATAGACTAACTTTTTAACGACCAGTAACACTAATGTTGTTACTTGTATTATCTCGTTGTTGATTGAACCGAATTTGATCAGTCTCTATTGGCATACGAACTCTTCCTCGGATGGTTTGGCACTGCCTATGTTTCGTTTCCGTACTAATGATGGATAGTGCCTAGTAGCGGAATTCAGGACGCGTGTTTCGTCCTACTTGGGACTCGTCAGCTGGATGTACCTGCCTTTCAGTGAGCAGTGTTGTTCCCACTATGAATCGAACTAGAACGGAATACGCGTCCTTGATTTCGCTGCTATCGCTTATCCATCATTAAGACCAGTAACACTGGTGTTATATTGATCACACTTTACATTATTTTCAAAGGGAATCTTGTGAAGCTGTGGTACTGAACTTTACTGAGTTGTGAATTTCATCTGTTAACGTGGATAGCGAAGATGGTATTTTGTACTATGAATTTGTCATCTGTTACAGATAACTGCTAGTGTAGACTTCACTTTTACAAACATGCTTTGAAGAAGATCAATATCAGAAGCTTTCTAGAGTAAAATGAAAATATCTTATTGTGTAACTTCGTACTGACCGCAGGCAATCTAAGATTATAAGCAATTATAACAAAGTCATGATGAATACATGATATACTCTGAAGGTGTTGTAAAGTCCAAGACGAAATTTCATCGATAACAATAATTACATATCCTAACTTATATGTGATCAGATAGAAGGTTTTAAAAATGTTGAAGAAAGAAATTTGAGAGAAGGAAGTTGCCAAACACCCACATGGCTATTTAATCACATTGGTAGTTATAAAATGCTAAATTGAAATAACTTGATGATGTAGAGTTAACTAATACGAAAAATAATGATACAATTAAATTAACATACACAACTATTTTTCGGTCATTGTTATGCAAAACGAAAAGATATCTTTCACCTACATGGAGTCATATTTCACTCTTAAAACTATGCTTCCGGTCAAACAAAGATATTCGAAAACATACTGACAAAATCACCTAAGATCGAGGGATGATAAAAATTGATAGGTAATCCTAATTTTGAACTACATTTGTAGCGCCTAATGCTTTAAACGTTCAACCTTTACCCACTGCACATCGTGTCCAATTCATAGTCTTTTTACTAAAGTTTCTCAGCTGAATAGCATAGCTTTCACTTTATGACACTGTGGACACCAAATATTTTTTTAAGAAGAATAACATTTTAAATGATCAATATGATGACTATGTAAACAGTTAGTAAATATGCAGATGTTGTTGCCAGCTTTTCTTATCTGTATTGTTGAATGTTTTCAGCGACCATTGTATGTGCCACGATAATCAGGTATTGGAAATAATTTTATTAATAATAGAAACAAGAGGGGAAAAAGGTGTGCAAAGTAATATTACTAGAAGTTACATCATGTTGATAGCCACAGTAATAAAAGTGGTGAAACAAACTTCTTTTGAATGCAAAAGTTAGGTTTGTAAAGGTGGATTGCAATCGCCTCTGCTATGTGAAGTAAGCGAGCGCGTAATTCATGTAGTAAATTAATTAGAATGTCATGAATAGTTTTGAAAGCTTTTCTAGTATCTACTTGATATCCCATGTCAACTAGATGTGCAAGTATGGAGCTCTTTATTCTTCTAATTTGTCCCTTGCTCCATACCTGTACATCTAGTTGACACATAGCAGAGGCGATTGCAAACCACCTTTGCAAACCTAACCTTTATATTGAAAAGAAGTTTGTTCAACCACTTTCATTACTGTGGCTGTCAACATGATGTAACTTCTAGTAGTATTACTCTGTACAACTCTTACCCCTCTTGTTTCTACCAATATTCATTTATTTTCTTATCATTACGTAACAATCCATTGGTTATGACTCAACACAATAATTTCATTATGTCTTTAAAATGTATTCTGTTAAAGTTCATATTACTATAATAAATGTATACAGGTGTATGATAGATTGCTCACAAAACTGCATACTGTTGTTTTCCAGATAAATATCTCAAAGACAACACCTTTAACGTGTTTGTCCAGTAGAAATCTGTACAAATTCTATTCTATAGCTTTCAGATTAGTAGGCTGTACCGTTAGCAACTTGTACAGTTAAAACAAACAACTCATAAAGACTACTGAGCTTCGTTTCTGAAGTAAACTGAGGTCACGATAAATAATCAAAGAAATAGTCAGTGAATATGCGAAATTAAGGTGTTTCTGTTGTTTCTGTTCACATCAATGTTAGGTTACAACATGGTCGCTATTGGTTGTCGTGCATCACAAAAAATAACAATACTTTGGTTTATCGTAGAGTACTGGCAATCAGATACGAGACTATTGGCATATTTTTTAAATCTCAAGTGTTTTAACATTGTAGGTTTGTAAGCATCCGAGCAGTACTCTTCCAACAGTTTTTAGTCAATTACATATAATGGAAATGTAGTCAGTTGTTTGTTTTTCCAACTTTTACTCAATGAGTATTGAACTCTGTGATTGTATTTGTAATGTTCAAAATCAGCTTTATTCTGACAAACTGAAGAACAATTGTTAACTTTCATACAATCGCTATAACTCGCATCGTTAAGTTTTAAAACAATATTAATAGCTCTGAGCATTAAATGGAATTCTGTGTAACATATTTGTCATACTTGGTTTTTCTCAACCATTATTAAAATTTTTCTTGGTTCGCAGTTTAATATTTTGTCTTCCTCTTTTAGGCAGTGTCTGTCTTAGGTTTACTCGTTAATATTGTTGGTGTCATTGCTTTGGGCCATGCCCATAGTCATGGAGGTGGATCTCATTGTCACAGTCATGGAGGTGGTTCTCATGGTCATAGTCATGAAGGCGGTTCTCATAGTCATAGTCATAGTCATCATCATGAAAGTGAACACAATCATAGTTGCAATCACAGTCATGATGCTAATAGATCTCATTCTCATCATTCTGATCGTGAGCGCCTTATTGACTCTATTGACGAAAAAGTTCATTACAGTCAAAACAAGTGTGGGTCGCACAAGTCACACAAAGTAGATACGGACGATGCTAATTTGAGGGGTACGTTTTTTGATATTTGTTCTTGATATTTGATTGAGTTTTATTTATCAAGAAGTAGGAATTCACATTTTGAGAAAGCACAGACATATTTGTTATTCGTATGCAGGATAGGAAATTTTATTTGTTTTATTATTTGTCCCTTGGGTTCCTAGTGGAACGTAGGGCTTCAGTAGCACGTCTCCATTGCTTTCTGTTCTCTGCAGTCTTTTGAACCTGGCTCCACGACTGCTCACAAGCTTTCATTTCTTTCTCACACCATCCCCTCCATGTCACTGTCGAGCGCCCAACTCGTCGTTTCCCCTTTGGACTCCACTCGAGGGCCTGGCCTTACACATGATATCCTCAATCGGCCTTCTCAGTGTATGCCCAGTCCAATCCATCTCCACTTGCTTCTGCATATTTGTTGGGTGATAGGTTCTTGGTTGGTATTGTTCCCAGAGTTCCTTGTTGCTTATTCTTTTTAGCCATCTGATCTTCAGTGTCAGTATCGAGTGAGCGTAGGCGACAGCTGTTGATAAATATCTGTAGTTTGTTGGGAATGCTTTTCGTGATGCGCCGCCAAGTCACTCAACCATCATATAGCAGCACTGACTTGACTGAATCAGTGTTGGAAATCCAGATCTTGTTCACTCTTTATGCTGAGTGCAGTGCAGTGGAGTAGATCTCCACACTGATTTCTCATTAATGAAGGCTTGTCTTGCTGTCTTTCCGATCCCGGTTATGACATCCTCGTCTGTGCCACCCCCTGTAGTTGAAACAATGCTACCCTGTCTAGGTAGGTGAAAGAGACTACTTCATTTAGATTTCTCCCGTTGATGGTGATTAGTGCTTGTTGTTGTTGGTAGGGTATCTTCATCACCTCCGTTTTCTCTTCGTTCATTTGAAGTCCTGTTTTCGCTGCCTCGCCTCTTCTGTCAACTTGTTAGTTTTTGCCTGTAGATCTTCGGGTTTGTGAGACAAGATAACAGACATAAACCATCATTGGCGAAATCCAAATCTTCTAGGGTCTTTTCATCGGTCAAACAGCATATGCCTGTCTTCTCGCTCCTCACGGTTTGTTTCATAACCCAGTCTTGTCCCGTCGACCACAATCAGGAAGATCATCGGTGATAGTGAGTGGTAGCCTTGTCTTATTCCTGTCTTCACTTCAAAGGCGTTACTGAGCTTTCCATTGTGAATCACTTGGCATGTGGCGTCTTCATATAGCTGCTGTTGAATGAGGCTGATGAGGGTTTGTGGCACTAAAATCGTAGTGTTGAAGGAGCTGCCTGTCAAATTACTGCTTGGTCGACGCTGTCGAAGGTCTTTTCAAAGTGGATGTGGTTGTAATTGAATTGAGTTGAATGTCATTCCATGGTCTGTTCTATGATGATGCTTGGCGTAGCGTTGCAATTTGATCCGCACATGATTTGTACTTCTTGAGGGCAGCCAGCCTGTTACGATCGTAATTTTGAATCCAGCGCATCTTTTAGTCTCTCCAGTATGATGTGGCTTAATATTTTTCTTGAAGTGGATAGCAGCATGATTCCGTGCCAGTTCTTGCTAAGGCTTAGGTTTCACTTCTTTGGGATTTTGACAGTCAATCTGCAGGTACCTTTCCTTCCTTCCAACCCTTCTGCAACAGTGGTATGAGCATGTCCGCTGTTGTCTCTGTGTCCACTTTCAGTGCTTCTGGCGGGATTCCATCTGGTCTTGCTGCTTTCCCGGATTTCAGCAACTTTATGGCGTTCAGGACTTCTGCTTTAGTCGGAGGGATTGTGTTCACTGGTAGTTCTGCCGTTGCTGGTCGTATTTCTGGAGATTGAATGTGTCAAGTTGAGCCTTGACTCAAGTGTACCAAAGTTCCTATCTTACACGAAAATCTCAGTCGAACGGGTACAATACATATACATTTTTCATTAAGAGCCTTGCCATTTCTGAGTTGTATCAAGTTTTTGGCATAGTTATAAGTTATTTGTTAACCGATAGTATAGCTGTTTGGTGCGGCAATTCTTTTAACTGTTCACATAGAGGAAAAGGATAGTTTCTTGTGGATAACAGAAAACTTCCAACTCGTTATGATCTTGACGATTTCTGTATATATTCATAGGTTTTATATAACTTCTTGCTTATGAATAGTATTTATAAAAATTCCCGATTGTATGTACATAAGCTAACACTTTTCTTCATATTCGTTATTGATAGTTGAGCAATCATACTTTTCAGGTATTATTCAATTTTTATGATATCCAACGCATGATTCGCCATACTTTTGTTAAGATAAATTAGTGTTTGTCTTACACTGTTACGTGATTTCTGAGTTTATAGAACTCTCCACCCTTTTTCCGGCACAACACACCTCCATCTTCAATGATAGTATGGGATTAAATAAGGTTAACCATTTTTTTCCCCACCGTACTATCTGATAATATCGGTTATGAAATTATCAATGTTTTATTGGTATCATTGTGTATGAACCCGTTTCATATATTCCTCTTAAAAAAATAGTCAAAAGGAAGTCAAATTCATTGTCTGAATTCTCAAAATTTCTTGATAGTAATAGAGGCAAATGGTTTTCAACCTCAGCAATTTCCGATTTAGAAACAATTCCTCTGACAATTGTGTTGCACAGTTTAAGACTGGTTTACTTATTAAATATTGAACACAGTGACTACTTATTATTTTCGAAGTGAATATTCGTCAGAAACGGAATACATATCGTGACATCTCCATGATCCTTAAACTTTTCTCCACCTCTTAACAGATAGTGGAATTTTTTAGGCAAGTGAAATTTGCATAGGGAATGGTGAATAGGCAGAGAAATATGAAATTAGTAGTTGTGTCAAAATAGCTAAGACTTTTCCGCTACAGGCATACATAATTTCTGTGATTTGATGTCTTCAGGTCATGAGTTTAAACCTTGTTTCAATCTCCGAGGTTTGAGTAAGCAGGTAGTATCATCACATCCCCTCATTGTTTACTACATGAAAGTGCTCAGATTTGCTGAGTTACATTCTACTGAACAAAATGAGTCGTTAGAAACCATTCAGGCTGATGTACAGATTTCGCCAACCAGGTCAGAGTGATCTGTACTGTACACGAGATTGCCGTGTCTATCTTTTTGGACTGAGATCATCAAAGTCGTACCTTGACAAATTCAACTCAGAACGGAATTGTCTAATGTTATATTCACCTTGTAGTTTGTGAATGAGCTGCAATCGTCCCGACCGATAGCTGCTACCTTGACGTGGTGACTGGGCCAGCGGTGTTGTTCATTTGTCGTTTCTTTTGGACCATCTGTCTCCAAAACAACAAAAATTCGAAATAATCATACACTAAAGGCTGCGTGTGACAGGCCCCAAGCAGATGTCCGATGGGCTCTGCGGTCACACAAATCTCTTCCAGGTACCTTAAGAAGAAATAGCCTCCCACGATGCTGGCAGCCGAGAAGTGTCAACCGCCCTCACAGCTCTATCTGCACTCAAGTTTCCCCACACTGCTATCCACTTCCTCCATCATTACCTTCTAATCTTCCTTCACGTCTCTCAACTAATGATACTACATCATCTTCAATTTCTTCTAGCTCTGTAGCCTTCGATAACGATCTGAGTCCACAAAACAGCATCCTTCGTCTCCTTAAACCACGCTCCAAATTACATATTGGAGCCTTCAATGTCCGCACCCTCCGTTAAATTGGTCAACAGACTTCGTTGGCAAAGACTCTACCAACTCTGGCCAAGGTTGTGTGCTGCGTTTGTGAGACACGCATACAGGACCCAAGTACGGTTATCCACCTGACCTCTCCCGACCAATCTGATGAATCCGCAAAATTCAACCTCCGAGTTTCTGGAGATTCGATAGCTAGCTCTCGTGGTCTTCCAGGTGTAGGCATAGCACTAAGCACTAGGGCAGAGACCTCACTACTAGACTGGATCCCAGTTGATAGTCGCCTCTGCGCTATGCGGCTGAACGGCACAGTGAGGACTATAAGGAATAGTGAGACTCACCGTTGTCTCTTTGTAATATCTGCTTACGCACTCACTGACTGTAGTTCAGATCAAGTGAAGGACGAGTCCTACCAAAAACTGTCTAGCCTTCTCTCGAAAGCCAAACGTTCGGACGTGGTGGTTGTTGCAGGTGACTTCAATGCACAGGTGGGTAAACTGAGTGAGGCAGAAAGGCACTTAGGTGGCGCTTTCGGAGTCCCTGGTGAACGTACAGATAACGGTGATCACCTATTACAACTATTCTCAGATAAGCGCCTATCTTTAGCGAGCACGAATTTCAGACATAAAGGAAGACACTGTCTGACGTGGCGTCCACCGAGCTCAACTCAGTGATCGACACAGATAGACCACATTGCCATTAGTCATTGCTGGAGAGGATCGGTGGAAGACTGCCGCTCTTTCTGGAGTACATATTTGGACAGCGACCATGCGTTTGTCCGAGCACGTATATGCCTGCGTCTCAACGGACTTAAGAAGGATCTGAAAACAAAACCACTACGAGTGCTGCTGGACAACGAAAACACCAAAGCCGTGTTCAGTGAGAGGCTGACTAGGCAGTTATCGGAACAAAAGACTACCACCTATCCAGAGGAAGCTTGGTGCCTTCTTCAGTCTGCTGTAAAAGCAGCACTGAAGACTGTAACCGACTCCGAAATAGTGGCTAAAAGGCGCCAATGGATATCATCAGCTTCTTCCGAAGTAATGGATGCATGTGAACGCATCCCTGGAGGCTCTGAGTATGGTGAAGAGCGAGCGCAACTAAAAAGTAGATTAAGAAGACGTCTATGCAACGACCGCGAACAGTGGCGGGCAGCGAAGGCTAAAGACACAGTTATTTAGACTTATTAAGGAAACTGGGGGAAGAGGTCAGCAACAGTTAGTGAGGCTATGGGGTAGAAGGACGGATCTGCGATCCATCTGCAGGGGAGACGACTGGAACGATGGGCAGAACACTTCGAGAAACAGTTTAACTGGCCTCCGGCCACCATTGAGTTGCCCGCTATCCAGTTGGATCGCGAATGGGACATAGAGATAGGCCCCCCAACACTAGCAGAAAGCGGTAGGTAACCTGAAACGAGGAAGGGCGGCAGGACCAGACGGACTAACTCCAGAGGTACACAAGGATGGTTGTAAGGTGCTCTTAGTCAGGTTAACGGAAGTGTTCACCAGTATATGGGAATCAGTTACGATCCTCTCTGACTGGTTTAAATCACTGATTATCCCAGTCTTCAAGAAAGGTGAGAAGTCCTCTTGTGATAACCACAGAGGAATCAGCCTGACGAGCATAGTGTCCAAGATCCTAAGTTCTATAATTCTTCAATGCCTGAGTGGAGCTCGGGAACAGCAGCCGCGAGAAAACCAAACAGGTAGGCTTTAGACCAGGCCGCAGGTCTGCACCAGGTTCTGCAACATAGGCACGCTTACCGACACCCGACACTAGCTGTATTTTTCTACCTGAAGGCGGCATTCGACTCCATTGATCGAGAAGTCTTATTGCAATGTCTCAGTGAAAGGCGTGCCGAGTAAGTACATCACCTCATTGAAGGCTCTCTGCTGGAACACTTGTGGGTGTGATAGAGCCTATGGTAGCATGTTCAAAGAGCTATGCTCACTGAGTGGTGTCCGTCAAGGGTGCCCACTGTCTCCATTCTTATTCAATTTTATCATAGATATTCTTATGGAGGTTTCCCTCTCGTCACCTGATTACACAGAGGTTGACCTAATCACAGGAGAATTTTCGTTAGACTTAAAATATGCAGATGACATAGTCTTGTTAGGTGAAGACGCTGACAGGATGCAGTCTTCTGAATACTTTGAGAATGTTTGGGATGCGTTTCTCACCACCCAGATGCAAATCGTTGCTCCAGGACTGGTCTTCAACGGTGTCATGGTTAATAATAAAGAGTGTAGTGACTGAGTGTGTCGACCACTTCACTTGTCTTGGAAGTAGGATTTGCCCCACCCTGGTGGCTCAGTGACCGATGAAATCTCTGCTTGGATACAAGAGGCTCGTCTGGCTTTCGCCATTTTACGCCACCTATAGCGCCGCCGTGATATCTGATTGTCTATTAAGGGTTGTGTGTACTACACAGCATTCCGGTCTGTTTTACTGTATGGCTGTGAAACATAGCCATTGAAGGTGGAAGACATAAGAAGGCTTCAAGTGTTTGATCACCGTTGCCTTCATAGTATAAGCTGTATTCCGTGGTGTCACCACGTGGGTAACGCAGAAGTCAGGTGTAGAGTTTTAGGGAGTAGAGGTAAATTAGTTGACTAGGTTATGAACCTTCATCGACTGGGATGGTTGGGACACGTGTTACGTATGCCTAGTCACCGATTGCCTCGTCACACAATGTTGGCCGAAGTAGGTCCAGGCTGGAAAAAGGCCCGAGGTGTCCAGACTAAAACATGGCACCAATGTATGAAGTCTCTGACTGTTAATTTAAGCCATGTAGGACGATGCAGACTAGGTGGTTGGGGTCCGCAGGACAAGAGGAACCAGAGGTTGGAGACTCTAGGTGATCTGGCTGAGAACCGAAGTCAGTGGCGCAGATGTATACACACATTATCCTCATCTTAACGACGCTATACCTAATCTTGCCATTTTCTCATTCTTCCTTTCTCTCTTTTCTCACTTTATATTTCTTTTGACTGCATTCACTTATCTTCATCCTTCATCTCACTACCTTTCTACTTGATGAACTGACGTGAGGTGTGGCAACTGGGACCGTTACGCAGTAATGCTTGGTCCTATGTTGATATTGATAACTGATGATCATGATGATGAATCATTTGGAAATTGATCATCTTATATGCGTTGCATTCATGCAACGAACTTAAGCTGTTGGTTGAAGTTTTTGAAACATTCGAAATCGATGTTTGTTGGCATAGTTCACAGTGGTGTGCATTGGCCGATTGCATCCAAAATCTCTCTGAATCCCAAAATTGTACATCTTACTACTGTATGTATTATTTCCCTTCTCTCAACTTGCTTACGTTGTGTTATTAGTTTCTTTCATTGATTATTTCCCTTGTTGCGTCACTGATCTATTTCGTAACGTAAAAACTTTAACTATTACTGAAGTGGTTCGCTGGCTGCTGTGATGATGGCTAACTCTCGTTATCATTGAGCTGTTGAAGTAAAATTCTAAGCAATTTATTGTACTGTATCATTAAATCTCATATTGAACTTGTATTTTGAAGTAGTACGTATTGCAACGCTTCAGTGATAGTTATTCCTTTGTAAATCTATGGGTTACCTTTATAGTTTAGTGATTAGTTAGAACACCTAACGTTTTATCGTTCTGTGCGTGCTTTTCGTTAGATGATCTGCTCTAATCAAACGGTATGGGAAACGTGCTTTCCTACTGATTGTTTTAAAGTTATTTTTCGTAATATAAAAGAAATTTGTAATGACCACATTCTGTTTCATTTATCTTATATAGGCGTGTACTTACACGTGCTTGCAGATACTTTGGGTAGTGTGAGTGTAATATTCAGCTCATTTCTAGTATCCACTTATGGTTGGAATATAGCTGATCCAATTTGTTCAATGTTTATTGCATGTGTCATTGGCTATTCAGCTATGCCTTTACTAAATGACACCCTTGGTTTGCTTACATTAAAAGTGCCTGATGATTTTCAATCTCAGTTAATAGTTAAGAAAGTAAGTTCACCAGTATTTATTGTATTCCGTAAATTTAAAAAAATTTCCTGACAATGGTTTACAGTCTGAGCTTCGAAGTGCTTCTTCATGGATATTTCATCATCAGGGTTGGTAGCATTCTTGGCAGAGGTGGTGGTAAAACGTCCAGGGCAAAATATTAAAGTGTCATTTTCATCCTGAGCTACAAATGTGCTCCATAATTTCGGGATGATTTATCGTTTTCATGATATCATGTATGGATTAAATGATTCAGAAAAACTCTCAGTTATTTGGTTATAAATGGATGAGTATTCAGTGTCTGTCCGACTTCGTTGGCCCCATCAGTCTTGACTTTTTATTAGAACTTCAGGAATTACTTATCGAAGTGAGTCACCAGTGGGCATTATTCAGTTTGGAGGTGAACTTACAGAGGTAAGAAATATGAACCATTGGATTCTGACCTAATGGCTCAATAGTAAAGTGTTGGCCACGCAACCTGATGGTCCTGGGTTCGATCCATGACGAGGTCGTGAGTGCACGTTGCTGGGGTGTCCCATACCAGGAAGGAACAGTTGTTCAGTGCTCCCAGGTGTCGAATATTTCTCCAACTGATATCAGTCCATGATGGATATCAATCTGAAATCAATAAACAAATCCCCACAAACCTCCAAATTATATAATTTTAGTGCTCATTGGTGACTTCAAGAGGTGATTTCTGAAGTTCTAATGAGAAAATGTGACTGGTGGGGCCAACTAAGTCGGATAAGTATTATTTTAACTGACTTAGGGAAGATGATTGTTCATATTGTAATACTATTAGTACTACTTCTGCCTTCTCTGCTTTGATTACATTTCACTCAAATGGTTGGTAATCAATAGTTTATTGATAAACGTTACTGTAATAAAGAACTACTTAATTATTCACTCATCCACTTAAACACCTAAAGCTCTGATTGAATAACTCCGTTAAGTCATATGTGACTGAAGGATAAGAGAAAACAGGTAATAGGGGGTTACATTTCATTTCATTTTCTGATCAAAATACTTCAATGATCATGATGGCTATATGATTCTGGTGATGTAAAACGTTAGTAGTTAGCGATTTAGTGACTTAAAATCTACTAGAATATAAGGGCCACACTCACCTACTGAGCTACGTTGTGATTTGCGTACCTCGCTTCATTCCATTGAACAGTAAGTTGAAAATCTCACCACCTACCCAGGTTTCATATGTTGGATAGCGTTATTAGTTCTTATAAAGGCGAAAATCACCATATATTAAATACACTACTAAGTGCATTGATTACACTCCCTTATTGAACCACTAATGCTGCATTATCGTTTGCCTGTTTTTTTCTTCATCTACCCATGTTGGGTGTATTTTATCGATTATTTGTATCATACTGCAGACTACTTGGATACACCCTTTTAGGTAGTAATGGTTGTCGACTTAGAGGCTTATGAAATCGACATGATTTAGCGATTCATTTGTTCCACCTAACAACATTTTTCTGCGGCTGCTGAATTCATTTTCCGTGACTGTTCAATCCGGAATCCAATTTCTTTTTAAAAATGTCTTGGAAATGGCTAATTCTTGCTACATCAATCAGTCAATATTTTCAAGATCTGATTACAGAGTTTATCTTATACTGTACTCTTTTTTCGCAATGTTATTCACGTGTATCGTTGTTTCATTTTTAGATATTACAAGTGGGTGAGGTGATTTCTGTTTCCAACCCATTTATTTGGAATCATACACATAAATCTATTTGTGTTTGTGTTACAGTCCGAATCCATCCTAGTGCTTCAGAGCAGATTTATTACGAAAGGTAATTTGAGCATTTCTCTATTGTAGAAAAGGGAACTTTATTTCATTTTAATAGTTTGATAAGATATTTTTTCTCGATGGATCATTTTCAGAATTTATTTCGTTGAAGGATAAGTCGAATATGAGTACTGTGGTAATGTATACATCCATGTTAACTTATCTATTACAGTGAAATAGCGTTATTTACTGGATAAGGTTAGAAATACGGTTTATTATTCTCCGTGTTATAAAAGTTGGAAAGGGCAATGGAGAATATTTGTATCTCAGGTGGATAGTCTTTGTTGTATTGTGTTCTCTGAGCTGGGTTGTTTAATCGATTAAACAACCCAGCTCAGAGAACAAAGTACAACCAAGTTGGAAAGGGTTTTTTAAATGACCAATTTCCTACTTACGTTTCATGGGTAACATTTTTAGCACGTATGAATAAGGAGTATGATAAAGTATGGTATGTACTTTGAACCATCGAAGTGCAAAGTACTTTTTGCGAGATTTACAGAAGCCTATGTCTGCGCTCACCCTTAGTAGTGGAGCGTTAGAAGTAGTCGAATCGTTCGTGTATCTGAGTAGTTGTGTGAGTGCCGGTGGAGGTGTAAGTGAAGAAATTCTCAACCGCCTGTCAGAATTCAGAGTGACATATGCCAATCTAGGTTATTTTTGGTACCATCGCGACGTCAGTCTGACCGTGAAAGGCCGGGGATACAACGCTTCGGTACGAGTAGTTCTGCCCTACGCCTGTGAAACCTGACCTCTCCAAACTGAGGATATGCGACGACTCTGTGTGTTCGATCATCGTTGTCTCCGTAGGATTGCTTGTATGCGGTGGCAACACGATATTAGTAATTCTAAGGTGTAACAGCGTTTGTTTGAGCATGATGGAAATTGTCACTCAATAAGTGAAGTCATCTGGATACAGCGGCTTCGGTGGGTTGGACATGTGTTACGCATATCATCCCTGCAGCTTCCATATCGTTCATTGTTTACTAGCTCTGCGACTGGATAGAAACAGCGGAGGGGTGGTCAGTGTACGACGTAGCGACGTCGGATGAAGGATAGTCGTATCGAGTTTACATCTGTTGGTGTATCACAACTCCTTGGGTGGGTTCCAAGAGATCACGCAACCCATTGGCTTAAGACGTTAACAGATATAGCTCAGAATCGAAACCAGTGGCAGCCATGCTGCAACTCCCTCCTACCTCCTGTTGTTGAGAAGTAATGAATGTATCTTGCGTAGGTGCCTTTCCAATCATGCTACTCTTATTCTTTTTCTTTCTTACTTATCCACTTCCCATCGTTTATGTCTTTACAATGTTGTTTTACTATTTTATCTGGCGCATTTCTTGATGCCCTTGCTGTTCCATGTTTGTGTTCTAATGAATAATAATAAATCGTATAATAAGTACAGTTGAAGATTATTTGATAAATTCAGACTCTTTACTCCATAGTCTAATAAGTATCATTCAAGGCTGTTCCACTTCTTTTGACTGGACGCACGTTCCAAGGCCAGTTAACTGGAGAGACATACTAGACATCAGCAGTTCCTCGTAGTTTTAAAAGGTGCAACTCTTTTGTTGACACCATATTTCTAGGTATTGTTTAATGTAACGAAACTACTACCTTTTTTCTATTATCGGTAGCTAGAGGGTTAGAAAATGATTCATCTCAGGACCTCTTTTGTCTATCTAGCCTTATGCATCTGCGTTATAGGTAGCACGTGTTTTGATAAATTAACAGAACCGTTTGAAAGTAAGTAGTTACATAAAGCCACACGTAGTCATTCACTGGGATGTCAATCAAACTGGTGGTTAACCAATGATTCTGAAAACATACTTGACATTGTTTCTTAAGGTCATTGATTTTTTGTGAAAACAGTAGGTAAAAGATAAGCTTGCATGAACGTGACCAGCAGATTATGCTGAACACAGATACTTGGTATTCCTCATCATCACTATGCTTATGGTATTGCAGAAGAAGTTTAGCATACAGACTGTTAATGAATAACTAATTTGATTATATCCCCTTACTTTTTGACAGAGTAGTGCTTCAGTTGGTGGGTTCACCTCATTGACCAGTTGTTGTTCTATAGCATCATGAAGAAGTTGAAATGTTCACTCGCCTCATATCTTGTGTTGATACTTAGTAAAATGTAGCTCATTGAATCCGGATAGAAGGTATACCCCTTTATCTTTTTTGAGAATATGCTTAGGCTACCACTAATAGTAAAGTGGATATATTAGTAATGAGAAAAAGTCAAGCATTAGCGTTGCGGAAGATTTTATATTCGCATTCGTCGAAACACTAAAGCTTGAGTTTTCGCGTTGTCTTTTTTCAAAGCTAATTAGTCAATCTGTTTTGGCACAGTAACTCCGTGAAAATGCCTCCATGTTATCAACTAATACTAATCGCAGTGTTGTTGAGCTGTTTTTCATAAAATGTGTTTTTTTTTTATTCGTATTAAAACAGATCAAGGATATCATTGGAAACCACTTTTCATCGGTTTCTCATTTAACCATACAAATCGAAAAAGAAGATTTTGAATATCATACTCAGATCATGGGTTTACACTTACCCGTCATTGGACACTATCCTAAATCATTTATCAAGACGACTTTAATGCTGAACGGAATGACTCCTCATGACACCAGTAACAGTGATAAACACACTCAGTTATGCAACCAAGCGAATTTATCTGTTAAAGATGTTTAATTTGTGCAGTACAATATGCTATATCTTCCCCTATGATTAACATCGTGACCCGTTTGTCTGGTTTTTTACTCGTCGGTACTATTAACCTAAGTAACTTTTTTTTCCATACTATCTATTGCTTAAAGCAGTTTCTTCGTCTTTCTCTCTTTTTCGCTACTGTAAATAACTGTTTTTTTCGTGTGCCTTCTCAAAGATTAATGACTTACATGCTTGTATTTATCCATCGTGCTTGGTTTTCCTTCTGTTGATCAATTTTTATGTTGATAGGTTCTGAGTTGTTTACCTTTTTTGGCAAATTAGTTAGTCATACGCATATTGTAGTCATATTAATTATCATAATTATTTCAAACAATCCTGTTTTTCTGCTTTTATTTACTCATGTCTTCGATCTCTCTTTGACTAATTCTCATATAGATTTGGTTTTTTTATATTTCCAGTCAATAGTTCGTGTTTCTGGTTCTATTCTATTGTTGTTAATGATGAGGATTTCATTTTTATATGTTGTCATGTATCTCAATGTAGATTAAAAATAATGGTGTTGATGTTCCAGCTGATACATTTTTTGGGACTTTCATTGCCTTCATTAGGTGTTTACCAGTTATGTCTTTCATCAAGCCGAAGAAAACGTTAGCAGTTTGTTTAACCTGTATATATTTGTTTACTTGCTATTACGTGGCGAATAATTGGTTTTAATCTTAGTGGTTACTGTGATTACTTTTAAGAGAACTTGGTTAGTACGCGTGTTGTATTCAGGTAACATGATTCATTTTGATAGGAAATTAGGCTTTTTAATCGAATCAACTCTCTTTACTTTTGTTAAGTGTCTTTAAATATTTTATCCAGTATCTAACACTTTAAAACTTCTCGGAGAGTTACAAGAAATTTATGCTCTTTTCTTTATCTATTTGGATACAACTTAGGTGATGCGCCAAAATCTCACCTTTGTTTCATCTTCAGTTTTATCAGTCTAGTTCTTACTTTCGAGTTAATTTGTTTCTAATTTGTAAATGAAGATATTTGAAAGTGTTTTGTTTGGAATAAATTTTTACATTGAATCATTATTTTTGTATCCGATCCAAGAAATGCTTTAGGAAGCATACTACTGGCTGGATTGCAGAGTAAAACAAGAGATTAATGTATCAGTTCGGTTTTTGTTGATAGTGCAGGTGATATCAGTGCGTAATGACGAGTTTTTTTTTCAATTTATACAGCATCTTCGATTCATTAGTTTGTGGCGATTAAATCCACAGCTGATAAAAAACCGGTGAATAGTTTGATTTTTACAAAAGATAAACGAAATCATCGTAGAACCTTGCACACAGGTGCTTCGGTTCAAGTTGCTGCACTTCACACGAAGAATAGGCGAATCGAAAAAGAGTGATATCAAAATTGACAAAGTTGTGTGAGAGAATAAACGATTTAAAGATTTCCAGCCATGTCACCGAGCATCCTCAGCCACTGATTTCTGTCGTCTAGGGGATCCAAGTCAGGTTGTGTGAATCTCCCTAAATGCCTCCAACTGGTAGTCAGTGACTTCATGTACTACCCTTTGAACCCTCTCTCAACGCAGTCCGACTTGCTCTAGCATGGCACTCCGAGGTAGGTTGTGATTTCGTGTGCACAGTACATGTCCAAGCCGTCTCGGTCGAATAAGGTTGACAACTTCAATCAAATTGCCTATCTTCCGTAATATCCTTCACCTTACCTCATTATTGCTCACACTGTGATTACAACAAACATTTTAACTCGTCATTTCCTATATCTATCCTTGAAAACCTCGGGTATAAAGCAGTTAGCTTCTGCTACTTTGGATGGTTTCAGGTTCGCTACAGCTTTCTCAACTGAAGTGTTTCTGAGGGTCAGTTGAACCGTGCTTCAAAGTGTTTTCCCAACGTTCTAGCAGCCTGTCCTACCAGGCTATCAGCGTTCCATCCTTTTCGGCGATGGTTTCACTTACCATCATCTTCTTATCGGTATCCTGATAAGCCTAAATAGCTGCTGAGTGTTACCCAACGCCGGCACCATCTCCAACTCTATCTTTCGCCACCCAACACTGCTGGTGACCGACGCGAAGGCTCTTGATCAACCTACGTTTAGGCTGCTTCCGTTCTTCATCGTGGTCAGAGGCAGCTGGGATCAGTCCCCTCATATTGTTCATTTCGGGATGACGTTGTGGAAATTCAATGACGTTTGTTAACCTTAAAAAACTGTCTTTTTATTACTTGTTTTTGTGTTGGCAGTCCTCGCTTTCCTTCTTATCAACTGCGATTGCTGTCACTTGACGAATTTCTTGGAAATAGCACTGAGTTGCTTCTTTTTCTTAGCTTGATAACTTGACGTTGCTCACCATTCTAGGCGCTCCAGGGATTTCCGTACTACTTAGGTAGTAGATTACTACTAAACCGCATGATCAAAGTCAGTTCGTAGCCTGTAAATTAATTTTACTCATAAATTTTATCTCGAGTAGCTGCTCTAGGGTATTTATTAAACTAAGAAAATGATAATGAAGAATATTTACTAGCAGTGGGATCCAGGACGTGCGTTTCATCCTATCTGAGATTCGTCAGCTGGATGTACTTGCTTCTCAGGGAGTGATACTTTCCCACTGAAACTTGAACTCAGGACCAATCGCTTCACATACCCAAGCGATGTCAACTGAGTCACGGTAGCCATACTTTGTGTAACGGGCACGCTATGGTATTGCTTGTAGTTTCCCGTCGATCGGACGTAATTAGTCGGTTTATATTAGCATGTGGTCTATGCGAGTGCATCTATATTGCCTGCGGTTTCACTTTGATAGAAGTGGTGGATTTTAGGTAGCACTGGATTCCGGGGACTGCGTTTCGTCCATTCTAGAACTTGTCAGCTGGATGTACCTTCCTCCAGTGGGTGAAAAACGGTTGCATTCATGACCAGCAGCTGAATATCTGTTTAGTCACCACATTACATTATTCATTTTAAAGCGTCTGAATACTCTGGGTTTAATGTAGAAAGGATTTGAACGTATTCAAAGTCAACCAACTACAGTCAATTGTCTTTCAGCGGTTTTTATCCCTGGTGAAAGCTATCATAAGAAGTAGTCAAGTCTTCTAAAATACTAAGTATGTTCGCCAGCGAAATTAGCGATAAATTTTACAATATGTATCATTATTTTCTCCATACTTTTTTTGTTTTATTTCAATGTTAATTATTTTAAGAGTTTATCTTTCAAATTTTTAATTTTCAGAAAATATTATACTAGTGATTCAGAAAAGTAAGATAAAATTTACATTCAGTTATTGGAGTAACTTGACTGTTTACATATTCATTACACTGGTGAAAGAAAAGCCACTAACAGTGAGAACAAACAGAACATTATTCTTTGATAAAACAAAAAGAATATCAAAAGATTAAGAAAGTTGTTATTGGTAGATTTTATAAGCCCGCTCAAAGTTTCCTTCTTTGGAGAACTTCATAGTTATTGAAACAATAAATTTACTTCTTCACTTGGACAAAATGGAAACAAAATTCAAGGGTTTATATGCTTTCCAATAGCATATGAGGGTTTTAACAAAGGATTATACAATGTTTCTAGTATAAAAATGTTAGAACTGTAATGTTTGACTTCTTGTTTAATTGTTACATGGATCACACTTTTGAGTTGTTCCTGCTTTAATACGACACTAAAAAGGAATAAAAAGAAGGGAAACTTTATCAGAATGTTCATCTGAAAACAATAGTCTTGAAATGTGAAATGATGCTGTGTGTCTTCCACTTAGATAAAACCTGAAACAGAAGTGGATTAGTCTAAATGCTCTCAATAGGCAGCTAGATGCAAAGAAGGGAATAGGAAAAGAATAAGATTACTGTATGAGAATCAAAGGAGTATATTTTGAGAACGACTATCAGTGTTTACAAATGCATCATTGTTGCCGATTTTCAACCATATCACCATGACTTTCCAACTGTTGATTCCTATTATCCTTAGGACTCCAACCTGTTTCCACCTACATGGCTCAAAGAAACTGTCAGTGGTTTCATAAAATGATATCACTTTTTGGTTTGGTTCCTGTTAACCTTCTTCCGAAAAATTCTACATGAGATAAAATCGGTTATCATCTGAGCTAGACAATAGTTTGTTTCAACCTTAAAGTTACGAAGCGTACTTAAAAACCCCAAAATCTTAATGAGCATTGTTCCAACTTTCGGAAAATAGTACTATTTACTAGCAATTCCACTCCGGTATATCGTTGAGTTTGGTTATTCGTATTACTTAAAAACCAATGTCTAGTAACTCGAATTCAAAGTGTTTGGCGAAATATGTATTTTTCGAAGGTTACTAGAGATAATAGATATATCGAGAGATTGCTTGCTATGGAATACTGTTTCATCGACTGTGAATTTCATTGTCATCCCAGAATGTCTGTTGGGATAGGGTTCGATAGGCTACTCGTTATAACTTCCTTCCTCAACTTAACACCAAAACTCATGATCAAAATAAAATTTCACTTTTTTGTTACTCATGGACAAAGTTCGTTTAATCCTGTGTTTTATAACGACTAAGGAGGTTAGTGTGTTGAAAAAGAGCCTCTACGGCATTTCCTAGATGTGAATCATCGTAGTCATAGAAGATAGGTTGGGTACTATTACAGACCTCCTACATATTTCTAACATCCTTTCAGCTGCTATATTAGGAAGCAGTGGTGATTTATTGAATGAGTGGTTTATCCGCGCTTATATCGGGTTTCGCGAATTTTGAAAGTCACACACATTAGGCCAATCAAATCTCCTAAGCTCCATTGTTTTCTCGATCGAGTTTTAGTTAACATTTTAAAAAAACTTTCCTTAGTTTATTCAAAACTCTATATGTTACGGTAGGCGAAACTTCGATGGAAAGATCAGGTGGATGGATCACATCAAATACAATTAAGAAATAGGTGAAATATTGGAGAATTCTCATAAAAAGACCTGATTTTCACGTCCAATCTATAAGAAAGAGAACAGTAAGAAACTGAACAAGAGATATTATATGTTTGAAATTTCTAAAAAAAACGAATTTAGTCCGGTTTTATTGATTTCAGGCCGTACCAGCCAATTATTTATAGCATCATGAGAACTATAACCAATACGTCCACATTTCCTACCGCAGTTTGTGTAGGTTCATGATCTTGTCCACTGACTTCTCTTTTTTATGTGATGCAAGTGATATAGCAAGGATAAAGTTGGTTGAATAGCTTGAGCTTTACACGAATCGGTTGTTATCTAGTAATCACCGTAGCTTCCTGCAGATTAACTCTGAATATTTAACATCGGATCTCGAGTTACTTTGGGTTGCCAAACGGCTTCATCTGAATGTGATAAATTCGAGCAGAATTAGTTTTTATGCTGTTAGCGACAGTTATTTCACTAGTCTAAGGCTCATTGTTCGGCATGAGTATAGTTTTTCAGTGATTTTGATAATCTCTGCTCACAGTGTAAAGTTGTTATCAGCAGATTTTAAACCCAATAGATTCACAGTATTCTGGCGTAATCATTATTCCTTATGTGCTTAAAATCTCCTCTATCCTTTAACAACGCTGGTTTATCTGCCGATAATAGTCGTATTTCAGAAACATTAATTCCTGTCAGATTTATCCGTTTTATTGAAGGTCACCGGCTGTTAAAACTGTATGTCATAAAAAGTTCAATTTATAAAAATTTTTACTTTTAAACAAAACTTACTGAGCGAAACATGATTTACCACTGACTAACAGATGATTCGTTTGTTTTCTTTTGCAACACATTATAAAGTAAAACGGAGATTGTTATCTCTTCAGACATACAAATGCCTAGCTTATTTATTCCATAAGGTGTTTTAGGCACGCAAACGGCTGATTTAAGAGGCTAACAACTTGTTTCTCTCCATAGTCTGGACAAATTTTGCCTATTCTCATTTTCTTTTCATCCGTCAAGTGTAGAACCAAATATTTCAATAACCAACATTAACAAATGACTCTCACTATAAAACGTGGCACTTTTTATAAAAAAAAACTAACTCGATTGGATTATTCTAATCGTAGCCACTTACTATGCATTTGATAAGCAACGGAATGCGAAACTCTATAACTGCAATAATTGGAGATGCATAAAATGTCCAGTATTTCTGTGCGGAACTATACTATAAAATAACAGATTATTATTCCTTGTTTTTTTTAGTTAGTTGTGACTAGTAATTGTTATTTTGCTGTTCTCATTAGAATTATAGAGGCAGCGTTTTTGTATGCCACAATCTTTTTTATTTTCTTAATGATGTTTTTGTGATAATGGCTGAAAAGTAGCCCTATTTACTATATCTAAACTACTTGGCTAGTCAACAGCTCTCATTTACATCTATCCCGTTATTTATTTAGATAACGATTATTTTGCACAATATAAGCTCTGTATGATGTCTTGAGCTATCACCAAATCATTACCGAATATTGATACAGATCGGTCGACAAGAATTCTCATAGTTCAGAGAATACTGTTTTGATTTTCCTGCTGCCTATCCTAATTTATATTTATATTACGTTTATGCAAAACATGTTATTGTCCGTGTATCACATTAAGCTGTCGCTGCTAATATTTCATCAAGTAAATTAAAGTATGTCAGTATCTTTTACATCTTATTTCTTTACTACAATGAAATAATATTGAGATCCAATCAATAAAGTGATACTTTTATTGACGGTGAATCTGTATTATGCATGTCTTGTTTTACAATTTCTAGGTCTATCAACTATTATATGATCAGAGAACTAATCTACAAACTGAAGACCAATTTATCAGTTCACGTAGAGACATGACAATATTTCAACGACTGAAAGTAATATAAACTGGAAAGATGAGGTAAGATTATGAGAGTGAGGAACGACATGTAATATTATTTGAACCAAAATTATTTAACCTAGATTAGATATGTTGAGAATGACATCATCCGATGTCTTGTGGTCCATAAATTTAATCACTCATATTTGACTTCAACGTACTATGGAGGTTTATTACAGTCATTTTGAATAAATGATTATTGACTATGACGACAGTAAATAAACTTGGAAGACACCATCCATCCTACAGAGCACTTTGTTATGTTTACTGTACTCATCAAGTAACGAATAAAACTTTATTTATTCAAATATTTGAAAGCTTTTGTTGACAGACAATATTTTCAAAAGAACTACTGTCTCACATTAATCACTTGAGAAAAACGTGTGATACTGAAGACCAAGTTTGTCTTATGTAGGTGTTCTCACCTTTTACCTTGAAAAGGACCGCTGACTTCAGATGCGATTAATTTCTCGACTAAGGAAGATATGAAAACATTATTTCAAAAAATTCACGTTTCTTCAAAAATATAATTTGCCCTTGTTTCCAAATACAATACCTTTTACACCAAAAAAATAAGTGCAGAATAAAAAGTCATATATAGTTTACACTGGATCTATCTACAATAGTCCTATCTTATTCATCTTTACATTAGTGCTATAACGATAGTTTGGAAAATTTAGGATGCAGAGCTCACTAACAGTTTACACAAATTTGATGTTGTGGTTTACAATGCTTATAAGTTTTGTCAAATATTTTGAAAACTTACGCCTTTGGGTTTTCTTCTTGTACTATGACGAAATAATGAAACTGTTCTTTTCACAGGTGGCCTGTCTTCTTCACGCATTGCCATCCAGGGATGTTTTAAACATTGATGTACAGAAGGTCTTTTACTTTAGCAAAGTAAGAAAAATATCAAATACAATAGTTTTGAGAGTTGCAACAAAAAAATAGCAAAATTAGACATTGTTCACGTTGTCAGTACCCGTTTAGATGATAGTAAAGATGATACTAATATACTGTATAGAGTAAAATGAGGATAACGTTACTATATGAGGATAAAAGTGTAATGATTAATCACTATTTGTTTCAAAACTTTCTGAATCCCTTGAAGGTTCCTGTAATTTCTATTTTAAAATATTCGGTAAAGCAAAGTGACACTGAATGGAAACAGAATTCATACATGGATGAAAGCTGCAATATCAATACCAATTCAAACATATGGTAATGAAAATCGCTTAAAAGATTTGAGTGACTTTCCTCTATACCTTATTTCTCACAAGAGCAAATAATTTAGGGTTCTGATAAAACTTATGCTTTTTAAGAAATCATGATAGAGAAGGTAAGAAACAAATATAAGAACAACTATGTACAAGATTTTCATTACCATCTGAACACAGAGCAAAGATATTTACAGCACAAACTTTATTTTCACTAGGGTAATAGACCTGATGATTTTTCAGTAAAGTTTGAGGACCTAGGTAAAAAGATTTCACTGTCAGTCTTTCGTATCGTTCATTCATACAAGTAAGCACATTTATCTTTTACATACGCTGATCTAAATAGTCATATGAAACTCATATAATCGATCGTCTTATACTACCTTTACAACAGCTTGTTGTTATTGTCTAAGTGTATCTAGCTTTTAAGAGCATTCTACGCATAAGCAGGTCAATGGGGTAGTGAACAGCAGCTTTGCGTGAGATAATTTGAAATATTTCTGGAGATTGAATAGTGAACTAGGTGGTCTTACTCTTTTCATCATCAAAAGCTTATTGTGCAACTATTTCTCGACACTTCATCAGGAAGCTGATCAATAAGAGAACAGGATATATAGCTCATGGAAAGCCAACTTTTCAAGGTATAGTTATCTTTATTAAATTTTGCACAGTTCATATTAATTTACGAGTTTCAGAAGACCACACTTTTGCACTAAAACTCAAAAAAACTGAGAATCAGAGTAATGACCTAAGATAACTTGTGGGTGACGTTATTGACTTAACTACTAGACCGCCAATTATCTGATGGCTGTAAAGTGTTTCGAACTGTCACATAATCGAGTCCAGTCTCCTGAAACCGATTAACCAGCAGCATGTGTCATTTCCATTGGATTATTAACTGTTAACAATAGTTTATCTATCCTTCTGTCGCATTAAAGTCGTTTGGAGTTCAGTCAGTCTCTTGATAAACTTCGTTAAGTTTGAGAATGATCTTGTAGACTGGAATTCGACAAATCAGATAAATATGAAAATAGTTGTATATTGACTTATCAAAAAAGTATTATTCATGTCAACTATCAGGTTGAAGAAATTTCTAAATGTCTAACAGGAATTGTAAGTATTCTACTTAGTTTGTATTTACTGTTTATTAGTTTTCGTAAAATAATATTCTGCTTCATTTTTAACAGATGAGGCTAAAAATCATCCTAAGGTGTTATAGTGCTTGTTATAGGATGTGGCGTTCTGTGCTCATATGTGCGTGCTTCCAGTATTCTCCCTGCATATCTTGCCTATTCACATAGTTTTTTACTGGAATCGTGTTTCATACCATTTATTCGAGTGAAAAGCATTGGTCGCAATTCTATGTCGTATGTGCGATGTTAGTGTAGTTATTGATGAAGAATGATGCCACTAAATCGAAGTGAGTTAAGTGAGGCGTCAAACTGCATCAAAAAGAATTTATGATAGCAGTTTTCACACTAAGATACGTGCATACGAAATACGGACAAATGAGTATTTTCACACAGAACATTTCAACAACTGGAAATGACTTTTAGCCTCACCCATTTTGAACTTTATAACACCTAATTGGATCCTTTTATTTTGATTATCAAGTAATCCAGATTCAACCTCGCCTAGGTAACTAGTTAACTAGTTACGACCAGGTCCTAAGCCAGGATAAAGAAAAAAGGTTGGGCATGCAGCTAGCAACCTTACCCAGCAAAACCAATCCAATCCCCAAAGTAACTTCAAAGCAAAAAAACATAAAATTCGCTAGAATCAGGTAGACGAAGTAACGCCGGTTAAAGAAAGCCTTCGAGAAGGCAGTTGGCCGATGTATCATCTCCCTCTCGATGAAAGCGAAAGTAAACATGAGCACATGGAATGTCCACACAATGTTTGAAGCTGGCTGGCAAGGATGCCCAGATTGCCAAACAGAAATGACAAGGTATAGCATGGAAGTACCAGGCTGAGAATCTGCGAGGAATCTGCACATGGAATGCAAGTGGACTCTACAAACTGTCAACTGGAGAGGAGAGTCAATCATCTACTCCAATATTGTCACCCAGACGACAATCACCAGCACAGCAAACTGCGTTATCGAGGGTATATCATGATGTCACCAACAGCATCGAAGACTCTCCCTCTCTCATGCAGTGCCAACCAATCTCCTCCTACAGAATCAACATCATGACAGCAAGATCCAACTGGAAAGGGAGCAAAGTCACAATCATACAATGCCAATACTACACACCTACAAATAATGCAGATGAAGCGAAGAAGGAGGAGGAATTCTACAGACAACTGCAACCAGTGATAGACAAGACGCCACCACAGTTGGTGACATCGAATCTCATTGTGATGAGTGGGTTGACATGAATGCCAGACTGGGAGTGGATAGCACAGGCAGAGAACTCATGACGGGTCGAGAGGCACTTGGTGAAGTGATGAAGGAGGATGGAGAAGTGTATGTGTACGTGTGCGCATTCAATGAATGATTGAGTGATTGTAGACGAGGTAGTGTGTACAAACACAAGGATATTCGCAAGGCAGCAACATGGATTTGATTTCACCAGACACCAGGACAGGAGGCACTAAAAGTCAGATCGACTTCATCTCAATGTGAAGAAAGTGGAGATGGAGACGCAGCCTACTGGATTCGAGATCAGATGAAGAAGGTGAGCAGATGTAGGTTCACACCACTCAAACCACTCACACCACTATCTTGTGCAAGAAACCTACCTTCAAAATCAAGTTGAAAGTCTTCAAACAAGTTGGTGATGATAGACCACAGTTCAAGTTGAACACCCACCCAGAAGTGGACTGAACTGAACTGGAGGACGCAAGTGGGAAGGAAATCTTCACGTCAGGCAGTCATGAGGGTAGAATGGTAGACATTGAAGAACATTCCTTTTGGTAGAGCTTCGGGGAAAAACGCTGGAACTCTGTGAAAGTGACGTGATGGGAAATGTGTATAACGATGTTGGGAAGACGGAATGAAGAAGACAGGACAAGGAATGGATCTCGATGGATACATGGAGGCTGATGGAGGAGTGAGAGGAAGATGGTGAATCAGAAGATGAACCAGTGCACTGCAGTGATGAACAGCGAGAAGAGGGACTGAACACAACTTATAAAATACTACACTGGATAAAGAAGTGGAGAGGAGTGCGCTGAAGGATAATAGACACTTCCACGATACAGTTATAAGTGAGGCAGAATAGGCTGCAGTAGGGGAGACAGAGACCTGACAACATTATATCAAATAATCAGGTTACCATCTGTCTAGAAGAAAAGAGATCAACACAGGTGAGACCATTGTAATATGTTGATGGAGACTTAGTTAGCGAGAAGGAGGAGTAAAAGACCACTTCTAAAAGCTGTTGAATCAACCACCACCTGTAACTCGTCAAGAAATACCACCAGAAACGGTAGAACTACCAGTGAACATAAGCCCTTCGACAAAATTGAAAGTGATGTCCTGAACTCCATAAAGTTGCTGACTGCCGGGAAGGCAGCAGGACCAGATGAAATCATACCAGAAGTGCTGAAAACAGACGCAAAGCTAACAGCGGACATGCTCATATCACCGTTGCAGAAGGTTTGGAAGGAAGGAAAGGTGCCTGCTGATTGAAAGGAAGTCTTAATTATCAAACTCGCAAAGAAGGGAGACCTAAGTCTGCAAAAACTGGTGAGAAATCATGCTGCTGTCCACTCCAATAAAAATATTGAGGCGCATCATCCTGCAGACACCAAGGCATGCACTCGATTCGAAATTACGATCGGAACAGGCTGGCTAGTTTCAGGAAGTACTAATCATCTGACGATGAAATCGCAAAGCTACGCTACACATCATCATAGAACAGAGCGTGAAGTGACAGTCAACTCAATTCTACCTCAACTCAACTTCATCCAACTTGAAAATGGCTGCTATCGAGGCGTCGATCGAGAAGTAATTTGACAAGCAGCTGCTTCAACACCACGGTTCTCGTGTCACAAACCATCATCAATGTCATTCAACAGCAGGTATATGAAGACGCGACATGCCGAGTGATTGACAATGGAAGGCTGAGTGACGCCTTTGAAGTGAAGACAGGGGACAGGAGTGAGACAAATTTGCCGCTGACTGTCAGCCATGATCTTGGTGATTGTGGTGGACTGGATCATGCAGCAAACCGTGAGGAGTGAGAAGATGTGGATAGGCTGGTTGGACCGATGGAAAGACGTCAGGAGAAGATTTGGATTTCGCCATCGATGATGATTTGAGTCAAATGTCAAATATGACACAAACTGGAAGATCTGCAGGCGAAAACCAACAAGTTAGAGAGGAGGAGGGAGGCAGAGAGGACTGGACTTCAGGTGAGTGTAGAGAAGACAGAGGTGGAGGTGATGAAGATTCACAACCAACTACCATAAGAACATCGACAAGAAGCATGAATGAGCATCGACGGTAGAAATGTCAAGGAAGTTGTTTGTTTCAGCTACCTGCTTAGGGAAGGCAGCATCGTTTCAAGTAGAGGTGGTGACTCAGGCACAGATGAGGATGTGGAAGCAGCCAGGATTGGAAAGACAGCAAGACAGGCTTTCAATAGTCTGAAACCAGTGTGGAGATCTACTGTGCTCAGCATAAAGAGTGAACATGATCCGGATTTTCAACCTTGATGTCAAGTCATTGCTTCTATATGGTTGGGAAACTTGGCGCATTACGTAAAGCACTCCGAACAAACTACAGACATTCATCAGCAGCTGCTGCCTAGGCTCACTCGATACTGAAAGTGAAGATCAGATGGCCGGAAAGTATTAGGTACAGGGAACCCACTCTGGGAACGAAGCAACCAAGAACTTATCACTCAACAAATATGCAGAAGCAAGTGGAGATGGGTTGGATTGGACATAAATTGAGAAGTCTGACTGGGGACATCACTCATCAGGCCGGTCCCTAGAGTGTAATCTACAGGTGAAACGACGAGTTGGGCGTTCGGGGCGAGGTTGACGTGGAGATGATGTGAGGAAGAAATGAAAGCTTGTGGGCAGTCGTGGAGCGAGGTTCGAAAGACTGCAGAGAAGAGGGTGATATAGCTACTGAAGCCCTATGTTCTACTAGGAACCCAAGGGAAAATAATTATAAAAGTAATAAATAATCGTCATCGAACCTAATCGGTTACTGGTTCATTTTAATAATGTTTTCATCGAAATAAAGTATACATCTAGAATCAGTCAATTAACCCTGTTATTTTTTCATTGGTACGACATTTACATGCTAATAAATAGCCTAGCTTGCGAACACTTTTCTTTCCTTTACTGCATGGATTTAAGATTCAGGTACTGAAATAAATAAAATGAATTAGTGGACACAGGGTCATCATTTAGCATGTTGCAAACTCTTGACGGAATGTGTCAATAAAATAGGTGATTAAAACGGAAATGGAAAGCGAAATGCTTCACAATAACAACTAAAATACAGAGCCAATCTGGTTAACCATTTAACCACAGCACTAGTAATGTGAAGAATTGTAGTACTAGTAGCTCAAAGAATCTTCTCAGTCCTATTGATCAAATACAGATTCTTCTCTTTCAGTCATCCCAGTTGCTTGACAGACGTCAGTTGTCTGGTTTAGCTTAAGAAGTGAGCATTAAAGAATGCTGCTATTCAGTAACTCATTTCATAACTATACAACTTTTTAGCATGTTTCGAGGGCACATTAAGCTTTCAGCGTTAAAAAACACAACTCACTAATAGTTTAAACTACTAGAAAAAGACACTTGGTCATTTGAATAGAGAAACATATCTTTTCGAGCGCGTATTTTAACACATTTTCATTGAATCTCATGTAAGTAGATCACTAACAGAATCTATTTATTGATGATGTAGGTGACGGAATTCTCCAAACCTACTGACAATTGATCCGAAACGATTAATATTGGTATATTAATTCATTTAGTAACGTTGAAAGGTTTTTAAACATATGTTACATTACGAAACGATTTAACGATCTATTTTAATAGAAATTTCTCACTGAGAATGTTCAAAATTGGAGTTATGAACTTCAAGATATTTCGGACCATTGAATAGGCAGTATATTTTGTATTTTAATAGAATGAATTGCAAGTCATAGTTTACTTAGCTGACAAAAACACTAGTTTTGGGAAGGCTTATTAAAAATTTGGCTAACTTTTACGATTCTTAGTGTAACTGTGTTCAATGTTTCCATCATTATAGTCGTGTGAACATTAGTAGTAGTTCGTTGAAAATGACCAGAATATGCTACAAGAAGCTTATTAGGAATTCGTAGCAAAATACGATTCATAAGAAGAAATCTTTTTCCACTAATCAGTGTCTATCAGTATGAACTTAGCGTCAGGGTTTAGGGTTGAAAGATTATGGAATATGGTTAGACACAGAAACCAGTTATACTATTTCAGTTTTTCTTATTTATTCTCATTTTGGTGGAAGTCATCGTACTGACTTCCACCTGTTTTATCAAGGGAATGATCAAATCCCTTGAAACTATACTAAGATTGGGTGATTTGGGTGATACAGATGGACGACAGTTTCACAAACAAATGCTTTGTGAAGTCTTTCGATTCATAGTCTCTTAAAATTTCAACGGTGAATAGGAACATTACGCCTGAAAGAACTAAACAGGCATTTCAATGTTACAGACCTTATTTAAAACATATCCACTACACATTTACATTTTAACCCTCAAGGTCTAAACTAAGTCTCAAACATGAAATAACGAATATGTTCCACCACTGAGACTGCATGTATGGCAGTAGATCAGTGTATTTTAAGCAATACATTCAGATAATTTCTTTCACTTATATTACTTATAAGGGAGAAAATTACCTGTTGTTAAGAATACAAGCCACCCGTCACTTGAAAAACCGAAGATGATATTGTAAAGTTCCAGTTTTTTCACATAGACTGATTTTGTTCAACTTGTAGATATGGCTCAGTAGTCTGTCTACTCTACTTCAAACGCATGTGTCATAAAATCAGATCAACTCAACTACATTTAGTTATACGTTTTACTTATGTAGAACAGGTTTAGGTTCACATAAACCTCAAAGTGCTATGAAATTGCAGTCACATTTTGAATTCTATTCAGAGATGAATATTTAACAAAAGCAAGTATCCCTGAAATAATGAAAAGAACTTCGTGAGAATTCTCGGCGTCGATTATATCAATTCCGTTGATTTAGTTCCATTTAAAAAAATTTGATTTTGTTCGCAAGTTTACATCACTAACACTAATAGGATAAAACTGTTAGTTACAATAAACTTGAACCAATCAATTCAAAGCCTATTAAGTATCTGAACTGTTTGCCCAACTTGTTTACACTATGATGCAGAAAACCAATAAGGATGACCGAACTGCTCAAACAGAATAAAAAAATAAACAAGATGAAATAAGTGTTTTTAGTTCTTATAAATAAAATGATAAAGCGTATACTTGAGTATTTGTGTTTACTTCTCATTAGAGTTTATCAATAACTGATTCCGAATTTGAAAAGGTCACCCCAGGAAATTGCAAATACGTTTGCAAAAATGTAAGTTAACTAAACGATATGAAGAGTGAGTTTATCTATTATGTTGTAGATAAAATTATTTTGCACAAACAACAAAAACAGTGTTATTAAAAGTCAGTCAGTAGAATATTGGTGGAGTTTACTCACTTTGGATCGCGTACCAATATCTGTTTGATAAAGTCTTTAGCTTCATTTGAAACATCAACTATTCCAGGGTCATCAAAATCATATCTAACATGTGTGATATTTAAAGATATCTCATGGTTGGTAAGAGTTCGATCACGGCATCCATCTTGTGGAATTTCAAATGGTGTAATTCCGGCAAGTCTGTAAATAAAATTTATGTTATTTAAAGAATGGAAATAAATTTATTGAAGTTTTGACAGCGAAAATTTTAAAATGTATTGTAAGTTATTGATCACTTCGCTGAGTATTTAAGTTCCATCTTTTATCTATATCAGCAGGAAGATAGTAAGGAAGTAAGGAAGATAGTAACTACAGCTGTTATGCAGTTGTAATCTGGATATGGTTTATGGTGAAGAAACATATGCATCGTGTTTCCGATTCGCAAACCTGGAAACTGGAATATCTGATTCTGAAAAGTATTATACACTGATAAACCTATAATACCTCGTTTCACTTAAACATAATTCATCACAAGCTCTTTATCTATGGTCATATTGATACACATTTCTCTACAATTATATTTACAGACAAATCTGAATCAAAATATTTAGTTTTCTATATCTAAGTAGCTAAGGTTCTGAACATCATCTCTGGTGGATTCTGGTAGTCATCTTATGCTAATGTAATAGTTTCTCAGGGACAAAGTTTGAATGATGGCAGTCAGATCTAAGAACAACTATAGTTCTTCGAATGTTTAGCACTAAGTTGGTTTGCCATATAAAGGTTATTGGTTTCCTGTCCATAGACTCGTAAGGCCTGTGAAATTTTTGTTAACAATTGAAATACCTCATAGTACCGGTAAGTAACTTGCAATGCGGATAATCTCATATACGTCTTTCTGTGATTACATCTTACGTAACCATAGTGTTTTCATGAAAAATCAGGAGAAAAATTCGAAGTTCTACATTACTCGTAACTGAATTGTTCATGAAGATGCAGTTTTGAGCACTCTTTCTTCAGTTCGAGAGACAATTTACTGGTGGGATGGTCTGCTCATCTGTATTTTTTTTAGGAGTATCAATCTATTCCACTTGATGTATTTAGAATTCTACCACTTTTGACATGGGGGAAAGAATTTATATAAATACTGTACAAACACATTACTGTCAAATCGTTCATGATTGTGAATCTTTCGGTGACCCAAAGAAATAGTCTCTTGGCAACTTCTATGAATAAGTTTCCAAAGAATCTGATAACTCATCCCAAATCAAGTTTGATAACTTAATCGATGGCAATAAGTCAAGAACTATAAGAAGTTTTATGACCACTTTGAAAACAGCTACAAAGTGTTATCAACTTCGTAGTAAAAAAGTGACTCATTCCCAATGTATTCTGTCATTCTACTTGATTAGAAATTGTATATTTTTATCAAAGTGATTGCAACTTCGTATTCATCTTTCAACTGCTTGAAGTCAGTAAATTTGTTAAATCAACCATACTACTAAAAGTAGAAAATTATTTATTGAACTAATTTTTCTAACGACTTGTTAGTTTTGGGAAAGTAATAGCCATTTCACAAGAACATAAGTCAACTTGAAGTAGTATTTTCACTCAGCTTATCTGAATAAATGTAAGCATAAATGTTTAGTCTATTAAAAATGACTTATAAGGATTTTAATTATTATCTTGTTCCACGTCAAAATCGGATAATTCGATTAAAGAGTTAAAGACAGTTTTGAAATCAGATTAACGAGAGATGGTTGATGATTCAGTAAATTTAATATTGTACTGACAATTCAACGCTAATGATGTTCAACACAAAAAAAATAGCATTGTTAATTATGAACATCATACACAAATTTTCGAACATGTAGGTGGTTTCAATTTACGTGTATCTATCGTTTTCACAAAGTTCAGTCAGTATACGCCCCTAACTGTTTTAACATAAAACTTTGAAAACTGTTTGAACATTTATTTTGTGACTAATTTCTGTAATATCTTTAGCTGAGAATGGAGATGGTCATCTTATTACTTCAGTTTATGTCCTGTGGTTGAAAATAGTTGCACTACACATCTGTGTTGGGTACATTTTCCGGATATTAAAAAAGAAACATACTTCTTAAAAATTTTTAGAAAGCAAAGCCAGTTAGTCACAAACACGGTAATTTTTCGGATTGTTTGAATTCACATTCAAGTAATGTGCGTGATTTAATTTTTCTGATGTCATTTGTTTTAGATGAGATATCAGTGAGTTGAATAGCCACACACCGTTTGGATTACTATGAGAAACATTTTTGTAAGTAATCAAAGTAACATAATATTTTCGTTTTCAGGGATTTTTCGTTACCGACAGAGTATATTTTGGCATATCAAGTGACCTTTTTTAAGTTCAGTGATCTTATGTGTCATTTTAGCTGTGGTACCCTAAGTCTGGTCAGTAATTACTTCAAATAGCTCAGTGGATGCGTCTCTGACTCCAGAACATAAGAAACTTAAGTTTATGAAGCAGCGGTATGCATTACGCAGCTTTACTTTGATGGTCTAAGTCTGTTTAAAGCTACAAGTCAAACTCAAACATTTGAGAAAGTTGGAAAATGCCAGCCAAGTTACAGACTTAAGGGGAAAAGATGGCGATAGAACAATTAGTCTTCGAAAGGAATACGAATTCCTTTAAGAGATCCTTATGACACAAGTAAGAGGCAAATCAGCGAAGAAAGTTTTGCTTCTCGAAAATTTCATTTTTCAAATCTGTGCAATAGTATTTATATCTGTGACAGATGTATAACAGCACTGAATTATTAAAATGGTGATTAATTTTTTCTGTATATATGAGAAAATATGGAATAATGCAAAGAAAGCTGAAAGTGCTAGAAAAAGTATGAAATTCAATGAGGTAAGAACCATTTATAGATGTGAATTAGGAAAGCTGAGAGTCAGCTTGATAGACATTAGAAAAGTAAATAATTGTGGTAAAAGATTAAAAAAAGACGGAAAATAATGAACTATTTAATTCTGATCCATTGGAGCAGTCAAGCGCAATTAGCAAGTTAGCAACATGGGGGATTTAGGATTTTTACTTTATACATAGATGTCTGGTTTTAGCTGATGAACAGTTAGTACCTCTGTCATGCACTAGTTATAGAATCGCAGTCCCTTTGAACTCCCTGAATCAACTTTGTAGGTAATGTAGAGGGCAGACTATAATGTAGTTAGATGGCTAGAATTCATTAGGCGTTCAAGAAATGAACTACAGATTTATTTGCATTTTCTTTTCGACATCCATACAAAGTGATATTGGGACATGCGTTTGGAAATTATTCTCTTTTTGCGGTTTATACCACTAGTTCAGCAGAAGAAAGTTAACTAATGATCACATACTGATGTGACCTGAAGAAGCAGCTACTCTTTAAAACTTCTTTGACAACTGAAGAAAACAGTCTGTAGTTTAACCGAAAAGAAGGTTTTCAGAGATCTGGAAAACCTCTCTTTCAGGATTTCACCCTCATTATCACCTTAGACTTAGTCAGTTTGAAAACCTGCTCTAATCTGATAAGATAGGTAGCAGAATTGTGACGTAATCTGCATGGCCCATGAGAACAATTCCAAAAGTTAATAGAAATTAATCATCATATATGAAGTTATCATGTAGCTTCCTTTCATATTCTTTAGATAACAGCCATTGAGAATATGGCTTTGCAGTGATATATTGACGACTTTAATTAAGAACTGCTGATTTGGGTTTTTCGAAACTTTGATTTAAAGGTGGCATGAAGTTATTTGTTTTATTCATCAGATTCTCAAATTCAGCTTTAGAGGTTATTAAAACATGGCAAAACTTCCGACCTAAGGACAATACTTGGATTTAAAGTGCAGTAAAAGTAACACTGGAATAGCTGAATGTATGTTTCTCAGGCGTCTCTAAAAGAAACAAACGTTATCCTTGTTGGTTTGCAAGTTTTGATCATTTTAAGACTGACCATCGTTTTGATAATTTCTTGACGGAGTTTTTGGAATTTACGTGTTGGTCTTTGAGAGATGCCAAAAAACTTCAGATAATAAAGAAAGCATACTTTCCCAGTCTGGCACTTAGAATTTTATTTTGTCACTTGAATTATGACGTGTTAAAGAATGTCGATTTGGATAAATAGGATTTCAACTCTGACTTTTCGAATAAAGCTTTGAATATTCAGGTTTATTAATTAAACTTATCGAACAGCTCATTCTCGCGTCTGAAACTATACCCTTGATAGAATACTCCAAAAACTCATTGTTTAAAACACCTCGTGGTAACCACTAAAAACTCTAAACCAATCGTAAATTTAGGACTTTTACTGAATACTTCATTTTTCGTTGTTTGTAACTAGGACATTTACCGTTAAATATCACATATAAGCCACACCTTTCAATAAATTTGGCTTAGAAATGGTTTAGCCTAATCTCATGTTGGCCAATTTATTGCCTCATAATTTAAATATTAGAGACCTCTACAACTAGTTTACTACACCGTAGCTAAACTGAACCACTTCATGAACAAAAAGTGTTTGTATAACATTTCAGTGTCTAAAAACTCAAAACGTTTTCTAGGTTTCATTGCATTTAACGTCTAGAAAAAGTCACTGCTATCAGATAGACATGGTTGGAATTATTGATTACCTTTTCTGTTTCGTCCACTTGGATTTATTCTTTCACACCATCATCACTAGATTTATCATATGTATAATGACTGAGCAACAGCCTAGTGCAACTGAAGGATTGCCGGTAAGAAATAAAGTCACTGAAAAAAGATTTCTTAGCTGATAAAGATACCCTGTTTTTCTTATTCATGCATAAATGGGTACATTTTGTCATGTAATGAAATAAATTAGCTGTTTTACTTCTCGGGGTGTTCTTATAACGGTAAGAAACAGCTGGTTATTTCAGTAATTGCTAGATTTTTCTTTGAAGCCATTCAGTGAGACGAATGTAGTTGAGAAAACTTCGGAATACTCTTTCAAGAGTATAACGGACTTTCTACTGCCAGGTCACAAAGTAAAAAGCCACATACGATTATGTATTTTAAAGAAACTTCGTCTGCTGTTTAGGATGTTCAACAGTCTTCGTCAGCCGTATTATAATTATATGTAGTTGGTATTTAATTACTAATATCATATAGTAGAAAAAATATATGGTTCTTAAAACTCTCAGTGATGTTGATACTTACATTTCATAGGCAATAACTGCTACACTCCATAAATCAGTGGTGTATGTTTGTGGATCACAGTTTTGGGTTTCAGGTGCTATGTAAGTTAATGTACCAGCAGGTATAGGAGGACACAGGCTACCTGAATAAAACATAGCCAAACCAAAGTCAATGATTTTCAGTCGATATCCAGAAGACTGAACCATCATCAAATTTTCAGGTTTCAAATCACGATGAATAACTGAACAATCCTGTAGATGTTTCAACCCAAGAAGAACTTGACGAACAATACTCACAGTTATAGCTTCATCCAATGAACCTTCTTTTTCAATTCTGTTGTACAGAGCCCCTCCTGGAACACTTAAATAAAAGGTATAGTGGAACGTAATCAGACAAAATAAACTAGAAAATTACATTTTACCATCACTTTAAAATGAAAATTCAAATTATAATTTTCTGTCATTTTGACTGTATGAGCTAGGTATGGTTTGGCAGACTTGTATTACTGCTACTGAGAGATAAATGGAGATGAAATGACAATGTGAGTCGCATCAGGGTGTAAACTAGTGGCCTTCAAATCGTTGGTCTGGTGATCAATCAACTGAGCTGCATGATGGAGCTGCTGATCAGAACCTAATTTTACTCCAAACACTAAGTGTTTTGCCTGACTGCCATGTTAATTCGTGATGTACTTCTTGCTGCTCATTGCATCCATGTTGACTATCTAGCCAGGACTCTTTATGCCGATTCAAATAGGGCTGATTTAAAGAGGGCAGAGTATCATTTTGTTTATCAGTTTGCTTATTTGAGGTAGCTGCGGTTTGGCAGAGTTTTGATATTGATACTGGGCAATGACTGAAGCTGTCATAGTTCATTATTCAGATCATCGGGCCGGTGGCCTAAAGGACATTAGTTCAAATCCTACCGTGACCCAAATTTTTATTTCACTTTGAGTCATTACTCATTATTGACAATTTATTCTCAGATCACTCTGTCGCCGGAAATTCCAATAATACGTCGATAACTATGGTTATGAGTTCACACCTATTTAGAACAGACATAAGTTACACAGTGGTTATCAATATTCATTTTTTAGTTAATGGGTTATCGAAAATGTTCTCTTTCAGCGTTCAGGTCGGTATGAAGAATCACTAAATCTAGTTACGGTATTGCTGTCATTGGGTTGATAAGGTGGAAGCGAATGCTGCCGTTACCGAACTTCAGATATTCAAGTAGTATTTTATAGTTTTTTGAGAGCTTATTTCTAGGTGTCAGGGATAGTCTCTTCAGAACCGTGAGTACAACCAGCTTTTTTATACAGTCTTCAAAACATCCTTCAACTTTAATTATCATTTTGAAATTCGGCTCTGTCAAGTCCTTTAAGGCATAATGATGCTAATGGTGATTTAAATTATCTGAAAATCTACGTTGTAATCAAAACTCTGAGCTCATTAGCAATTCATAATCACTATGTTTACAATAAGACTGACTTTCCGATCAAAAATATCTAAATGTTAGCACATACTTAATAAGGCGATCGACGTATTGATTAGGAATAGAAATCTTTAGTGATATGATAGTAGAAATAATTTGCAATTTCTAATAACATGACATTTACAATAGTTAAATACTCAGAGTAAAATGTACCCCAGTTACCACGTCAGAGTTTATGTCCTATGCCCTAGGACGCTCTGACTGTGTACAGAAGGACTGACAACAGAGTTCAACCGTGCGCCTGAACTTTCATTTCAAAAGATGTAAGTTTATTACTTCAGGTATCGGTTGACAGCTTCCATAACAATAAAAATCGAAAAAGATTGTAGCTCAAAACATATGAATACACGTGGAAGTCTCAATGAATACTTAAGTGTAAGGCTGCCATCGATCGTACCGAGTAGACACAAGCTAAGAGACGCTTAACTCAGAACTGTTAGCATAAATCACTTTTGAAAATTAATTACTGTTTACAGCCGTTTTTCAGTCAAATATAGCTAGTGATGAAAATGTTGTCGATCTGACCACATCCAGTGACCAATCAATGTATAGATACCCTTCACTATGGGGAGACACGTTTACTGAGCAAATTCTCATCGTAGCTGTGAAGTTATATGACAGTTTAAATATATCATGAGTAATACCAACAAGGATCAAGGATTAACGTTATTTGTTAACAAAGTGCATTAAACTGTGAACAACAATTGAAAAGTCTAAGACAGGTCTGTGTTGTCAGGAGCACCTATGTATGTACATAAATGCTTTGCTCCTATGCGGCTAAGTACACAGATCATACCTTTAAGACGATTTCAAGACCTGCCTGTGAACATTGAGTGGCTTGGTTATCGAAAACAAGGTTCAAACCGACAAACAGTTTCATTTTAGAATATACTCTTCTGACAGTTCATGTACCAACTGTAAATAGCTTAACCAAAGTGATGTATAGGGTGAAACCAAACTATTTATCGGGATTTCGTCTACAATATTCTTGTTCAGCAGTAGCTGCGGTTATCCACCCAGAGAATTTTGAATTGTTTGTACATAAGCATTTTGTTAAGCTCCTTCCACTACCATGGTCTTAGTTTCATAACTTTAAGGTTTTAAATGAATGATTTTCCCTCCAGCCTACTTCAAATGCTTTTGTTGCAGTCCAGATTTATTGACTGCAATCCCTCTCTCTTTTTGCCAGTAATTTTCTTGTTCTCTTACCCCATCTTATTCAAAAAAGGCAAGGACTTCTGAGCTTTATTAGTAACTGTATATTTGCATATTTTCTTGATTACAGATGACTAGCTATCTACTACATTATACTGTTTTTATCTTCTGTCTAACAACTTAGTACGCTTCTTTACTAACTGACATCAATCTTTACTCCTTGTTGGCGTCATTCATATTTAGACTGCAGTATATCTGAACAGTTACGATGAAAAGTTGTGAAGGGAATCCTTTTTGTTAATCAGTGTCTTTTAGATTCAAATCACATTGGTATCTTCCACACGTTTATTGAGTGGTTTCATGGATGACAACGCATGTATTTAGTGGACTCTGTTTTGGAAATGATCTTATTTCGATTCTTATTTTGTGTTATTTTCCAATAGTTAAGCTTGTTCGCTTTCCGTTTATTTGGTTGCCTTAATTGATAATCGTTGGAAATTCATTTCTACAAGTTAACTTCCCAGTGCGTTGATCATGCTGGTCAAGAAATGCTGTAGGTGATTTAAAATGATCGTGCAACCAATACGATTCTGATTGTTTTAGCTAGTTACTAGAGTGTCCTTAACCCAGCTTTTGTGTTTATTGGCATTATTTATTACATGACAGTCAGATAATGCTGGTTGATATTTTTGAAGAAGCATTAGTTTCATCTAGGCAACAGATATGATTCAGTAGTAGATGACCAAATACCGAATTTAATTTGGTCTTGGCAGCTTTACTATTAGTTTACTGATAACTGCTTTAAGTGGTGTAGACATTCAAGCATTATACAGTTACGAATGGTTGACTATGATCATCGTCCCGATAATAAAATTCTGAGTTGCATTTAGGATGAATACAAATGAGTGCAGTAAAATTCCTTATTACTCTTGGTAAAACTTAATTGATTCCTTAAATTCCAAGTGTTTACCTTGAGCTATTACACATGAGAATTTCAGTGAATCATGGTGAGAATTCTTCTTTGTTTGAAAAAGAATTACACACTTATATTCAGTTAGTACTAGCTGGAAGCTGTAAACTGTACGGAAGCCACAATAATTAGTTGTTTTGATGCATTTGTATACAATTCAGAAACTCATACATGAGTGTCTGGTAATTCAGATAATTCATTCAGCTCAATAAAAAGTAAATAAACAAATACATAATAATCTCTCAAATGTATAAAGAATTAACCAATAGCATCCCAATGACCCGGGGAAACGTTATGTATATTTGAATAGCTAAAGGAAATATCAGTAAAGATACCATCATGGCTCAGTAATTTCCCTATCTGATAAATGTTTGATGAATAAACAATAGAAACTTTATTGTACTAATAAGCTAAGCATGTAAAGTCATTATACAACCATATAGCAGATACCTAGGATTAAGGCCCTATATTCAAAGTAATCGTGGTTTCGCTTATCACACCACTCTTCTCCTCACACCATTGTAAGAAAAAATATAGAGAAGTGAATGTCACAGTTTCCTCCAGTGCATATTTCAGAACACAATGGAATTGTCAGATACATTCGGTCTTCATTGTTAAACCAAGTAAAAAGTGTAATTCACTCAAATGTACTCTGAAGCTGAGAAATATTTACAACTCAGAATATGATTTCTGTGATGACTTATCCTTTGAGCTGAAACGACTAGAAGTTGACCCTTCACTAGCATTCTGAACGACATTATTAGTAGAGTCTTAAAAGAGATCACATATCCTTATATTAACCATATTCCATGTTCATTCCTTTGATCTTATGCCACATAATAGACATACTCAAATAAATCTGTTATGGAGAAAAATCACTTTTCTTTACTTTGTAAATTTACTGAATTTCAAAGCTGTTTAGCGAAATTAAAATAGTTTTTGATCAGAAGTAGCAACTGACAAGCAGAATGTATAAAATCTCTTATACTTCTCAGAATATCTATTTGTATTTGAATTTCCATTTGAGATAACCTACTTGACAAACATATCTAGAACTCCGTAAAATATAGATAGTTGCCAGGGTAGGGGGAGAGTAGGGTTAGTGCCTTCAAAACGGGTAGTGGTCAATAAAGTCATATTTTCAGTCGGTCGTATTTCATATCCCTGGCATATTTTAAATTTGTGTCATACTGTATAAGTTAAGATTATAGAATTTAAGTGTAATGTGTCACTTACTATTCAGTAATTATAGTACAGTAGATATTATGTTCATATGCAGCATGTAGATGGGCTATTTGTGGATGTTTTCCGATTGCACGTAATACAGCTACTTCCATCAATTCACCTTTGTGTCGCTTGAGTCGTAAGATTTTAAACTTTTTAGCTGCAAATATGCTACCAGTCTTTATTTCTCTGCATTTTATCACATGTCCATATGTGCCACTTAGAAAAAGTAAAGTAAAAACAGCTAGCTGAAGGTTTATAACAGTATTAAAATTACTGATGTAACTTAGCAAATAAAGAAAATCATGAATATCAGCAGCTAAAATATTTAGTTTCCATTGGTCTTCAGTGAGAGTCATCGAAAATATTTCACAACGATCTGCTTTCTAAGAGTGCAATTAGCCTAACGAAAGTACTATTAGTTATCGTCCTTCAAGAAGAAACTAATACATTTGCTTAACCACCGCCTAAGTTATTAATATTTTCCGATATTATTACTGGGTGTTAAGCCCAGGTTTCGAAATGCTAAGTTACAAATTGTTGACAGTTGTAACACTTTATTAGTACTGGCAAAAATGCTCATGTTAAATCCCACAAAATCGGAAGGTGAAGATATTTGTTGGTTGACGCCAAATTTTTGATGAGTACATTTCAGTAACTCGTCTAGAATACTAGTTCGCTAGTTACTACTAGGTTCTAAGCCCGGATAAGGAGCTAAGGTTCGACATGCAGTAAGTAACCTTAATAGGCAAAAGCAATCCAATCCCCAAAGAAACTTCAAAGCACAAAGAAATTAGAAAAAATAAAAATCAACTAATTCCTCACTGGAATCGAAGAGATGAAATAACACCACTTGGTGAAACACTTAGGGAAGCCAATTGGCCGATGTTTCATCTCCCTCTCGATGAAAGCGAAAGTAAACATGAGCACATGGAATGTCCACACAATGTTTGAAGCTGGCTGGTAAGGATGCCCAGATTGCCAAAGAGAAATGACAAGGTATAGCATGGAAGTACCAGACTGAGAATCTGTGAGGAATCTGCACATGGAATGAAAGCGGACTCTCCAAACTGTCAACTGGAGAGGAGAGTCAATCATCTACTCCAATATTGTCACCCAGACGACAATCACCAGCACAGCAAACTGCGTTATCGAGGGTATATCATGATGTCACCAACAGCATCGAAGACTCTCCCTCTCTCATGCAGTGCCAACCAATCTCCTCCTACAGAATCAACATCATGACAGCAAGATCCAACTGGAAAGGGAGCAAAGTCACAATCATACAATGCCAATACTACACACCTACAAATAATGCAGATGAAGCGAAGAAGGAGGAGGAATTCTACAGACAACTGCAACCAGTAATAGACAAGACCCCACCACAGTTGGCGACATCGAACTTCATTGTGATGAGTGGGTTGACATGAATGCCAGACTGGGAGTGGATAGCACAGGCAGAGAACTCATGACGGGTCGAGAGGCACTTGGTGAAGTGATGAAGGAGGATGGAGAAGTGTATGTGTACGTGTGCGCATTCAATGAATGATTTAGTGATTGTAGACGAGGCAGTGTGTACAAACACAAGGATATTCACACACTATACCAAACATCAGATCGACTTCATCTCAATGTGAAGAAAGTGGAGATGGAGACGCAGTCTACTGGATTCGAGATCAGATGAAGGAGGTGAGCAGATGTAGGTTCACACCACTCAAACCACTCACACCACTATCTTGTGCAGGGAACCTACCTTCAAAATCAAGTTGAAAGTCTTCAAACAAGTTGGTGATGATAGACCACAGTTCAAGTTGAACACCCACCCAGAAGTGGAACTGAACTCAACTGAACTGAACTGAACTGAAGGACGCAAGTGGGAAGGAAATCTTCACGTCAGGCAATCATGATGGTGGAATGGTAGACATTGAAGAACATTCCTTTTGGTGGAGCTTCGGGGAAGAACACTGGAACTCTGTGGAAGTGACGTGAAGGGAAATGTGTATAACGATGTTGGGAAGGCAGAATGAAGAAGATAGGACAAGGAATGGATGTCGATGGACACATGGAGGCTGATGGAGGAGTGAGAGGAAGATAGTGATGATGATGGTGATGGTGATGTTGATGGTGAATCAGAAGATGAACCAGTGCAATGCAGAGCAACACAGTGGCAAGTGAGGCAGAATAGGCTGCAAGTAGGACAGGTCGACCTGACAACACTATATCAAATAATCAGGTTACCATCTGTCCAGAAGAAAAGAAATCAACACAGGTGAGACCAATGTAAGATAGTAAAGGAGACTTAGTTCGGAAACTTTTGAATCAACTTCCACTACCACCACCTGCAACTCGTCCAGAAACACCACCAGAAGCACAGCTGCAGAACTATCAGTGGACACAAACCCTGTGATAAAAGCAGAAGTGCATTCTTGAACGGCAAAAAGTTGCTGAGAGCTGTGACTGCAGGAGGGCCATATGAAATTAACACACAGCCACTGAAAATGGATGCAGTGACAACAGCGTACGTAAATATACCACTATTGCAGAGGGTTTCGGAAGGAGGAGGAAAGGTACCCATCGACTGATTAGAAGAGGGGCTGCCTTGTCAAATTTTCAGGGAGAGACACCTAAGTCCTTACCAGAACTGGGGCGGATACATGCTCCTGTACACCTCAAGCTAAATATTGAGGCGCATCATCCTGCAGACACCAAGGCATGCACTCGATTCGAAATTACGATCGGAACAGGCTGGCTAGTTTCAGGAAGTACTAATCATTTGACGATGAAATCGCAAAGTTACGCCACACATCATCATAGAACAGAGCGTGAAGTGACAGTCAACTCAATTCTACCTCAACTCAACTTCATCCAACTTGAAAATGGCTGCTATCGAGGCGTCGATCGAGAAGTAATTTGACAAGCAGCTGCTTCAACACCACGGTTCTCGTGTCACAAACCATCATCAATGTCATTCAACAGCAGGTATATGAAGAGGCGACATGCCGAGTGATTGACAATGGAAGGCTGAGTGACGCCTTTGAAGTGAAGACAGGGGACAGGAGTGAGACAAATTTGCCGCTGACTGTCAGCCATGATCTTGGTGATTGTGGTGGACTGGATCATGCAGCAAACCGTGAGGAGTGAGAAGATGTGGATAGGCTGGTTGGACCGATGGAAAGACGTCAGGAGAAGATTTGGATTTCGCCATCGATGATGATTTGAATCAAATGTCAAATGTGGCACAAACTGGAAGATCTGCAGGCGAAAACCAACAAGTTAGAGAGGAGGAGGGAGGCAGAGAGGACGGGACTTCAGGTGAGTGTAGAGAAGACAGAGGTGGAGGTGATGAAGATTCACAACCAACTACCATAAGAACATCGACAAGAAGCATGAATGAGCATTGACGGTAGAAATGTCAAGGAAGTTGTTTGTTTCAGCTACCTGCTTAGGGAAGGCAGCATCGTTTCAAGTAGAGGTGGTGACTCAGGCACAGATGAGGATGTGGAAGCAGCCAGGATTGGAAAGACAGCAAGACAGACAGGCCTTCATTATCTGAGATGAGTGTGGAGATCTACTGTACTGCACTGCACTGTACTGCACCACACTGCATTGTACTCAGTATAAAGAGTGATCAAGATCTGGATTTGCAACACTAATTCAGTCATGTGAGTCAGTGCTCCCACGTGATGATTCGGAAACTCGGTGCGTTACGAAAGTACTTCGAACAAACTACAGACATTCATCAACAACTGCTGCCTAGGCTCACTCGATACTGACACTGAAGATCAGATGGCTAGAACGATAAGAATAAGCAACGAGGAACTCAATCTAGCTGGCTGGCTGGCTGGCTGGCTGGCTGACAGTGAACTAACCAAGAACCCGTCGTCTAACAATGTAAGGTCCAATCGGTCTGTATTAATAAAATATCTTCCCAGATAACAACTAGACAACGTTCAAAATAAAAAACAGACTACCGAAAGATTCGTGTAACATTCGAATATGTTTAACTTCATTATCAGGTTGGTGCTGAAGATATCATTAAATTTTATGATGAAAAATAAACGACAGTATAACGGATCTTAGAGGGCACCAAACCACTATCAACCTAATCCTGAACTACAAATCATTTTTATCTTCTCAATACCAAACCACATACTGACGCTGACTTAATAAATGAGTTCGTTCAAATGCAATGAGTACAGTAAACTATAGGTGGCAACAAAGAAACATTCACAGATGTGGAATAAAAAATATCTTAATTTCAACAGATTTCACTTTAGAAGCTATAAGAAAGGACGAGAAACGACACATTTCAACCGAAAACTATTTCTTTGTTTAAAAGAGAGGCTGGCAGTAGAAATGACTATTGTAAGAAAAACAAGTAGTTTATGGGGTATCTAGTTGCTTCCATAAATGTGATGGGGACATGATGAACTCTAGAAAATGACTAGACCATATTAATTATATGATCAATCACAACATAGGGCAGTCATATATAACTAATTGCATTATTTATTATCATTGTGTTCAGCTGAGCTGAAAGGTGCTTGCGAACACAAAAGACTTAATTCTCAGTGCAACAGCCAACATTAATTGTCAATAACGCACCACCAGTGGATGCTAATTTCTAATCTTATCCGTGTGTTGCGTCTGGCATAATTTATGCAATTCAGTACTATTTTTTTCATAGTTTTCAGTAATCACAGTTTTATGTCAAAGGGACTGATATATCCATATACAATGCGCATTCTGAAATGACAGTTTTATTTCAGATTATAGGCCTTTCTGAAGTACTATACCCAATGTGTATATTCGGCATAAGGTTTATTTTGTTATATACAGGTCTCATACTAAGTGTAACTTCTGTTCACAAACAAATATCTGTGGTAGTGCATTTGTAACGCAATAATGAATACCGTCTCTTGTTGGCTTTACACAAAAAGCTTATTATTGATCCCAGAATTCACTGGGTACCCTACTGTAAATTTTCAACTGAAGCCGACGAATTACCTGTAGCTTTTTTATGGGTCATATAACCTGTCTAGAATTATTTGTTATTGTTCATAAGTGGACAAGAAACATGGTTTTATTGAGTGAAAAGCTTGTGCACTTCGTTCACACTATTGAAAAGGTTTGCTTTTCCCATCCCCGCTGTAACCAGTTTCACATGGGAATATGTGAACATCAGTGGGTTGAAATACACGTGAAGTAAAAAGGTTTGTATCATACCTTGTAAAAAAAACTGCTGTTAAAAAGTGTATTGGTGACAGACTTCGAAGAGATAAACAAAGGTAGAATGAAAATTGAATAAACTTACTAACCAAGTACTCCGACCTCTTCATAGTGATCACATGGGTTAACGTTCTTTATTGTACTGATCTTAAGGGGATATTCGATGTATTCATTTTCATCTACTAAGGCTAAACAAACAGAAGAACACTATATACCATTGAAAGTTACGGTAACTTATTTAAATCAACAACAAATTGTATTGTACTCTACCAATTACTCAATGAACTGCATAACAGCCCATATATAGAAATGTCCACTTCAAATGATATGGAACTATCTTCAATGAATTTGTTGAATTGAATACAAGTCGTTCAAAATAACAACCATTTCACAACTCATTCTACCAGAAGCTGATCAGTTTTTCCTTCTGACATATCCAGCTGACTGTATTAAGTGAAGTTCATTTTAATTTTATGAAGTCGACCTTCCTAAGGAACTTGTTAAAAGCAAAAATATAAAAAACATGTTATCCAGTCCATGTAAACTTAAGCTAATACAACTTTTTAGATTGATTTGAACTATGTTTGGCCAATTATAATGTTAGGTTTCGGTCTATAGTTTTTTTGAACTTTTTTGTTGGTCAGTGTCAGTTAAATAAATTTGCAGTTTAATATTCAAGGGTCTTGAGAGTCGTTACTGAACCCTGGCTTACGAATATTTTTTGGCACCACTTAACTTTAGCTTATGGACTATAATTAAAATATCCTTTCAGTGTCTTTCTGAATACTGCTAACCTGTAATGACTCATAAAACACCTTGATGAACTATTTTGTGTTATGTATTGCTTGAAAAAAAGAAATACTTCACTGGAGCCTAAAAGATAATATTCTGTATAAGGTTTTGCTTTATAACTGCACTATTACATTGGTCACTTATGACGGATTCAGCACTTGGGAAATGTCGATGTTAGTCAAAAGGTTCTACGTAAGGAAGAAAAGGTGGTTGAGGAGGCTGTGAACCTTTGGCGGCTGAGGTGGCTCGAACATTTGCTGTGTATTTCAAATGACTGGTTACCTAAACGCAAAATACTAGCAGAGGCTGAATTAGGTTGTAAGGTTCAGGGTGGACAGACCAAGATATAAAACATGTTCATGAAGTCTCTGACTGTTGATCTGAGCCTTTTAAGCAAGAGTAGACTATTTGCCGACACTGTTAAGACTGAAAATCGATCACAGTGGCAGTGATGAATTCCCTCTTTGACGTCTTCTAAAGCTTGAATATTTTCACCAACCTGTATTTTCCTATTCATTCCCCTCCCATATACCTAAGCCCATTCTGAAATCCGACTTTTCAGATCCACTTGTTTTTTGGATGCTACTGTGAAATGTTGCGAAACTGAACCAATGCACTTATGTACAAGGTTGTGTGTTGATTTTGTCTACCTGTATATAAAACTCATTGGACAGTGAATATACGTCTCATCTTATTCAATTATCAAAAGGAACTTGTTTTCTTTTTTGAAAGAAATTTACCATCTAGTCATAATTTTGACAATTTTATGCATAAGGTTTCTAAAATAAAAGCAGCTTTTAGAGAACATTATCGATGTTGAATTACCATTAGGGGAAAATAATGTTTTCTGGATGTTCAAGCTCAAAAAATTACCTTTGTAAGAGAGATTTTAGCAAAACGTGCAGTGCTACTAACGTAGATAACTCTGTTGCCTTTACTACTTCACTGGAGAAAAAAAAGATAAGTGGGTCAAGTTAACAGCATACTGAATTCATCAATTAATTCTTTTATGAATAGTACTAGAAACAAGACATTTGTTTCAAGCAATCAACTTATAAAGAAGGTCGAAGAATGATCCAAAGTTTTCTATAATTCTTAGTTGTGTTTGAAGCATTGTTTTTTCTCCGTTTAATGGAAATTTCCCAACAAAATCAACAACCTACATTCCTTTACCTGGAAACAATCTTTATGGTTTAGCTAACTAGTTACTGTATTTGGATAAGGTAGTAAGAAGCTATGTTCAGTCTGGAAACGCAAATTATCGAAGCTGTTTAAATCGTGTAGACTTTATTATGCTAAAAAACGATCATTGAGCAGTTTCTTCAACGGAGACATTTGCAGAAATATCTAACTTCAACTTTATTGAAATACAAAAGCTAACTAATTGTCAACCTATATTTATTATGCTGCCAACTTTCCATACTCACTAGGGCAAGGATTCACTATTCCGATAGTTCGCAACATTGGTTAGATCGAGGTAGATCAGCTTCAGAAATCACATGATTCACCGCCTTTTGAAACGGATCCCACGGGACAGCATCATATGAAAAGCTGTGAACGACTGACTCCAAGTTTAACTGATAAGTGAAAATGTGAGTGAATTATATTGCATATTTAATAATCCTTTTTGAAACACATAGTGAGTATGAATAGGCCAAATTTTGGCGCTAATAGCATCAAATGTATAAAGCAAAGATTTACATTATTTTACAGAACTACGTTTAACACCCATCGGTTGCATAAGAGTTTCCTTTATGTTCTATAAAAATAACCGATAAAAATAGTTGGTGGTTATTGTGATCCATCAAAACTTTGAAACAGTAAATGTTAAGTCCAAGTTTCTGCACAAGCAAGATTCTTATTTGTTTACTAAATGTCGTGAGCTGTAAACTATTCAGTTAAAATCCATATAGACCTATAGTCCTTTGCATCTATCATTTGCTTGAGTAAATCTACTGACTTTAGACAAATAGTGAATATTTTTAATTTAGCATACTACTTATAAGTATAGTATTACTCTATTACGGGGTTTACACTATAGTGAATATGGCCATTTAACTGTTTCACGTAAATTGTTGTCTCCACATCAGAAAAACTTATCACCATAGAACAGGGTGAAATTTATGTTGAAAGAGCTTATTAAAAATCATGGAAAACAGGTGTTATTGCATTTTCTAGTTCTTGTCTGACTAAACTATGTTGTCAGCTACACAGCTTGGTTATTTCAAACTTACCAGCTTGAAGTGAAAGCTGCCAGTGTTATTTTTGTAGTAACGATAAGACGTACAGAGATTTATTTGAACTAGCTGCTGAAAATGTAGGTAATGACGCTTTTTGATTGGATTGAGTTCTCTGAGCTGGATTATTTATTCATGGAGCTTTCGTTGTCATTTCAGACAACGTCATCATAAGAAACAACAGGAAGGTTAAATTTTAGGCCATCAGGACGACCAATCGAAATAAACATGAAGACAGGGAGAAGACTTTAGCAGAAGCGACCAACCACACACAAATCCATTACGACAAGCTACCAAATATATTGTAGAGAAAACCTTATCGCTCACTTCTTTCTGAAGTTTGTGCCGATGATGTTGTCTAGAATAACAACGAAAGTTGTATGGCCAAGTGATCCACTCAGAGAAGTAAAACCCATCTAAATAATCCTCCTGAGTGACAAATATTCTCCATCAACTCAAAATGTTGCTTTTCTCTACTTTGCAACGTACTAAAATTTTCCTGAATTCTGAGACTGCATTTTCAGTAATAGGTAACTCTTTAGAATTCCAACTTATATTAGTTTGAGTTACCTTTTAGCGTCATTATTCATGAAATGCTGGGTGATTTTTCAAGGACACAGTACAGTTCAGCTTCTTTTTTATGTAACGTTACAGTCTAATGGTACTACACAGAAGTTATCAAACACTTCTATGAAGCTAGTTTATTAATTGTATCTTTAGTTATGTTTATAGTCTCACTTGATATTTACTTTCTGAAGTTTTCAGACTGTCAAGCACATTGTTAACACGTTTCAGCTACAATTATTTTACTCACATTTACAGGTGGATGAAATGATTTCACTTGAACATTTAACATAGTGGCTATCTTCCACCTCCAAAATGTTGGATATACTTGGCTTCAACGTTGTCTTAATAAGTTCACATGTTTTCGCATTTAGTGAGTCTAACGTCCCGTTTGTGTCTGATACATTTTGAGAAAGAGGTGAATGGTTTTTTGATGAGTGTTTCGATGTAACTGTTGTTGTTGTCGTTGTCATCACCATCATCATCGTTGTCGTTGATGTTTGTCTTTCAGGTGTCATTTTTCTCCGATTTACATAGGATTCTCTCTTGATCACCTTACATTGACTTCGTTTCACTTCTTCACGTGAATACGTAGAATATTTCTTCACAGAAAGGTTGTGTATTTTTGAGTCATCACTATTATTAGTTTCAGTGGAAGTGGCATAACAAACAGATTCATAGCTGCCTTTGATCTGACTATTTGTACTGTTACATTCGAAATCGCCATGTTTATCAATCTGTTTATCTTTTGCGGGACACAAAGAGGGATTAGTCTTTTCAGACGGTTGTATGACTGATTGCATCTGAGACGTCTCATGATAAGCATCCATTTGCAGGTCATTTTCGGCAAAGGATAATAAGCATTTTTGATTGCTTGGAGATATATCGTTGGTTGGTTGAAGAGACGGTTGTGATAATGAGGACAGTCTTGTGGATGATGTTGACGATGATGAAGATGAAGAAATTTTGGAACGAACACTTGTTTTACTTGAATTTTTTAATATTTGTTTTGTAATCATATTATCTACACCTATAGTACTGTAAAATGTACTGTCGACTGGTTCATTTGTTCCGACTGCTTCATTATTCCTCAGACTTTCTGATTGCTTGTTTAAACGTGGAATACGATAGATAACTTGTTTGCTTGGGGATATACAAGTAGCTTTAGAAGTCTGAAATCTTTGTATCAGTTCACTTATTTTCTTTTGATGACTGTGATCAAGTTCATCAAAATTAGGAAGCATACTGAGTTCTTCATTCTTATATTCTTTATGGTTAGATGTTAAGGAATTAGATGTAATTCTGGGATATAAATTTTGTAAATTACTCCTGCTTGTTACATCACTAACAGCAAAATTATCCTCACTATCAATGCTTGGATTCATGTGATTATTATTGTCATTTTCAAGAATGTTATCATTTTTGTCAACTATTAGTGATTTACCCTCTCTTTCAAGAAATTTGTACTGTTTCTTTGTGTATCTTCTAGATCTAGTTAATTTTATCATCTTCGTGTTGCATTGTTGTTGGTCACTGGCTTTCCTCTTAGTAGGTTCATCTAGAAATTTAGATGATTTGCCTACCCTAGTTTGACCAATGGGATCGACAGGTAAATCACTCAGTATATTGGACAAAGATGTAGATGCATTGATGTTTTTATCTCTAGATGAAGTTCCTAATCTTTTATCAATTAGTATTGAACTGATGTGTGGACGTCTTTTCACTGGTTCAGGTGGATGTTGTTCAGAACTCGTTGCTGTTATGGATCTAGTTGAGTAAAATTCTGAGTTTTCTTGACAATTTTTTAAAGATTGGTCATTTGACTTGTCCTGAAAATAAGATATACTGCTGTTGCTACAAGGAATATTATGTTTGTATACGTCACTTCCAGCCAATGAATTCTGGTAAGCGGGGCTAAGAAGTGCATCCATATCCTTTTCTTTTGCTACTAAAGAATGCGACGTCACTTTCGAACAGCTAAGAATTACATGGTTCTCTGATTCATCACAATCAGATACACTCAACTTGTTTTGTTTACAGTTTATGAAATCGTTCGCTTTTCCATCTTCACACAAAGTAGAAGGAGACAGAACTGTTACAGTTTCTGTTTCATTTTGTAGATAATCATTTTCTTCCCTTCTTCAAAGTTTTTTCTCTTGTTATATTTCAACGGTATTTCTACAGTTGTTTCCGGATGGTTGATGCCCTCGTCATCTATAAATCTATCTGAAAATGAATCAAAAACAAACCTCTTACAATTATTCACATACATTATTGGAAAACATTATTACAGTTAATCAGTAAGGGATATCCTATTTCTACCTTTTGCTTACAGGTCAGCAAACTATGTTCTATAGGTTGAGTTACCCCTATATTTGGAAACAGTTCATTCCCTACTACTCATTAGTTACGTACTTAAAGCTGGGTAAATTTTAAGAATGTAACAGATACATTGTAAATCTTATATTTTGATTTAAATAGTCTAATAAGTAATTGATCATAAAAATTTTCTTTCTGGTGAAACTCCATTTGAATTGGGACAACAGAAACTGATTTGAACTGGTAGGTTTCAAGGAACAAAGACATTACCTAATATGGTACATATTGAAAATATATGACATAAAACAAATGCAGCAACCATTATGCCTTCAAATTATGAAATAGTGAATATGCTTTGATTAAGAGTAGTAGGTAGAGGAAACTTTAGCATAATTTTGTTTAAATTGCAGTCTAACAATTTCAAAATAACTTACATTCACAATCTTGTTTTGCTATGATCGACGTTGAGGAATTTCGTGATGCTTTGGTATATTGCATAATTATTTCTTGCACAGCATTACTGATGGCATCTTGTTGATTTTCTTTGTTTGGTTCATTCAACAATCTTACTTCAACAAGTTTGCCATTATTTAGTAGATGTAGGTCAATGTCACTCCATGATCTTTGTGCTGATTTCGGTGACTGTAAACCTGATAGGTTAATAACATCTGATATAGAAGAGCCTGTAGCTGATTGTTGGCTGATATTTAGGATATTAGAACAAAAGAGAAATTCACTAATCGACTTCATATCTGATACAGTAGTGCTCTAAATAAAAAGGAGGATGAAGTTACTAATTTTAGCTACAGTATATTCACTGTTAAGACAAAAAATGTAAACTGTACTATGCGTCTATCAATTTACCCAACTGATAAAGAAGTGTAAAGCGTTAAGAATGCTGATAAGTGGACAGACTTATCAGCTCTCAATAATCAAGGCCGCATGAAGGTTGAATAAGTTGAATTTTGAAATCCAACTAAAAGCTTGGTCTCAAAGCTAAGCTTCAAGCACAGTTGGTGGAACAATAATACAGTTACTCGTGTTCCCACAGTTCTGAGATATTTTGGGTATAATATTTGATAGGGATACGTTGTGCAGCTGTACATTCACCATCATTGACCATTTAAAGTTAAATTATCCGAACTTGTTTAGCTTCTGACGTCGCTCATTCTTACAGGGGAGTGAACATGGCTACATAACTTATTGAAAATATCTTTAATGTAGCTAAGTTCCTCAATGACTTTATAGCTATCCTACCAGTGAATATATACATAGTAGAGACCTTGGATACTTTAGGTTTTGGCAATAAAGAAGTGAAAGAGGTCACAGCGTAGCATATCATTTTTTGTATTTGTGTTCTTCTGTTAACCGTGGTCGTCAGATGGCTCTAAATATTCAATGGTTATGCATTTTATCACGTATTACGCAATTCATGTATCCAGAGCACTCTTCAATACGCTAATAACGCAAGTTATTCCATAAATATGTTGAAATAGCTACTCTGTCTGACAGAAATAACTGTTTATGTAAGACATACGGGAATATTTAAAATGTCTTCATAAAATCTGATGATCGGGTATTTTGGTGCTCTAAATCTTCTGTGGTTCAACTGGATATAGGCCAGGATGACATAATTACCTTTGGATATTCAATCAGCCCATAATACATATTTCATACGGCACTATATAACTTGGTTTTGTGGCAGGATGTAATATCCCTCCTTCTACTTATTTGAAACGCCTCTTCTAAACTAGTTTGTTTTGAAGCTCAAAATGAATACAGTAGTTAGTGCTTGAAACTCTCGTGGACTAGTCAGTAAGCTACTAGCTCACATTTTATGCTAGCCTGTAATTATTTCGCTATTTAATTACAGTTCTGTAAGACAACTACATATTGGATACAATTCTTTATTATTCAGTTTATAAATTCAGGTCAGATCTATACACTTCCTCATTCCATGAAGTAATTCGCTGTCTTGTAAAGATATAGTGAAGATAATAACAAAAGTGAATTTAACCCCCCATTAATGTAGACTCATAGTCAGTCAGCAATAAAAGATGTAAATTCTTATATCCTTAAAATACTCGTTAAGTAACACACAAAAGAAACGATATCTTTTTGTTTTTATTGGCTTGAAGGCAGTTCAAGAAAATAACATAATTGATTGATGTCATAAAATAAACATCCAACTTTTTTTGTGAGATAATTTTAAGGAGAGAAAGCAGTGAAAGAAAAATCAGACAGTAAACTATCCACAAAGCATTGTTCTTTAATAAATGGCATGCTTTTAGATTTTGACTGACGTATTTAACCTTAGGATTGAGCATCTGAAGTTGTGAAACTAATAGAAAGCAACAGCTTCAAGTTACAGAATCTCAATTGAATGTATAACTGACAAGTGGAAAATTCAGTCCAACTCACCTTTGACATTGACAAACTTTCTGCTCTGTGTATTGGTGTAGTGCTTCTGTAAATTAAAGATAAACGTTTAAGGTGAATTTCTTATTTTAAAAATTTTGTCTTTTTAAGAATCATGAATACATCTTGACCTTATGAATTATTTTCAAGATGAAATAATGTAAAACATTAGTTATTGAAAACACCCAAATATTGATCGCTAAAAGATAGCCTAGCAATAAATTTCTATTCAAACATTTCTGTTCAAAGTTTTATGCTACTTTTTGAGTTTGATCTAGCACAAAAATCAGTGGTGCATGGTCAAATACTCACTGATGAAACAAGAATTGGGTTAAAAAGATTCTAATCGTTTATTTCTAACCCATCTGTCAAATGATGACGTGCTAGTCGCGAGAACTGATGCTTCTCGGTTGTAACTGGGGAATTTTAGATTAAGATCGAATTGCTATCCTATACCACAAGGTTTTCAGTAGTTTTGCAACAGATTTCAATACCTGGTTAGAATTAACCTGAAATAAAAATTTGACTATTTATTTTTCGGTCTAAATATATGTATCCGGTAGCACTTTTAAAAATTTGTTTGTTTTCTGGAAGGTTATAAAGACTCCAACATCACCATTATAAGACTGGATATTATAAGTTTCGCAGAAGTTACCCCAAGCGTTTATGTATGTATCACACTGTCTATAAAAGCCAAGGCATCATAAAGAATATTGTTTACCAGGAAATTTGACCTGATTTAAATGTAGTTCAACCCATTTGTTCGAACATTAGAAGAAGTGAGTAAAAGAGAGAGGTTGGAAAAATATACAGTATATTAAAGACATCAATTCAAACTATAAGGCCTAATGTGACATGCGACTGATTGGAAGAGGGGCTGCCTTGTCAAATTTTGAGGGAGAGACACCTAAGTCCTTACCAGAACTGGGGCGGATACATGCTCCTGTACACCTCAAGCTAAATATTGAGGCGCATCATCCTGCAGACACCAAGGCATGCACTCGATTCGAAATTACGATCGGAACAGGCTGGCTAGTTTCAGGAAGTACTAATCATTTGACGATGAAATCGCAAAGTTACGCCACACATCATCATAGAACAGAGCGTGAAGTGACAGTCAACTCAATTCTACCTCAACTCAACTTCATCCAACTTGAAAATGGCTGCTATCGAGGCGTCGATCGAGAAGTAATTTGACAAGCAGCTGCTTCAACACCACGGTTCTCGTGTCACAAACCATCATCAATGTCATTCAACAGCAGGTATATGAAGACGCGACATGCCGAGTGATTGACAATGGAAGGCTGAGTGACGCCTTTGAAGTGAAGACAGGGGACAGGAGTGAGACAAATTTGCCGCTGACTGTCAGCCATGATCTTGGTGATTGTGGTGGACTGGATCATGCAGCAAACCGTGAGGAGTGAGAAGATGTGGATAGGCTGGTTGGACCGATGGAAAGACGTCAGGAGAAGATTTGGATTTCGCCATCGATGATGATTTGAATCAAATGTCAAATGTGGCACAAACTGGAAGATCTGCAGGCGAAAACCAACAAGTTAGAGAGGAGGAGGGAGGCAGAGAGGACGGGACTTCAGGTGAGTGTAGAGAAGACAGAGGTGGAGGTGATGAAGATTCACAACCAACTACCATAAGAACATCGAGAAGAAGCATGAATGAGCATTGACGGTAGAAATGTCAAGGAAGTTGTTTGTTTCAGCTACCTGCTTAGGGAAGGCAGCATCGTTTCAAGTAGGGGTGGTGACTCAGGCACAGATGAGGATGTGGAAGCAGCCAGGATCGGAAAGACAGCAAGACAGGCCTTCATTATCTGAGATGAGTGTGGAGATCTACTGCACTGTACTGTACTGCACCACACTGCATTGTACTCAGCGTAAAGAGTGAACAAGATCTGGATTTGCAACACTAATTCAGTCAAGTGAGTCAGTGCTCCCACGTGATGATTCGGAAACTCGGTGCGTTACGAAAGTACTTCGAACAAACTACAGACATTCATCAACAACTGCTGCCTAGGCTCACTCGATACTGACACTGAAGATCAGATGGCTAGAGCGATAAGAATAAGCAACGAGGATCTCACTCTGGCTGGCTGGCTGGCTGACAGTGAACTAACCAAGAACCCGTCGCCTAAGAAAGATTCAAGAGAAACTGGAGGTGGGTTGTTTGGGCAAACACTGAGAAGGCTAGTTGGGGACATGATTCACCAGGCCGTCGAGTGGAACCCAAAGGGGAAACGACGAGTTTGGCGTCCAAGGTGAGGGTGACATGCAGAGGATGGTGTGAGGTAGAAATGGAAGTTTGTGGGCAGTCATGGGGAAGAGAAGAGAGTGAAGTTGATATGTGCTATTGAAGCCGTATGTTCCACTAGGGACCCAAAGGACAACTAAAAATACATTTAATTGTTGGAGAGTGGAAGGGTGAGAAAGGGAATTTGGTTTTTCATTGTTTTATGTGGAAATCGATTATCCTCCATAAGCTACTTACCCAGAGCTCCTTTGTTGCATTGTATGACGTTAAAATTTGATTTCAAAGTCTACAAATTGGTTGATTAACTTCTGACTTTATTTGGGGCTGTGTATTTAAACGGATGCACCTAAATATTTAGATTTAAGATCTACTTAGTTCTAATCATCGTGCAGTTATCATCACTCGAATATTTATCGACTGAACCACTCATGGTTTCTCTTACTTATTTTTAGTCAAGTTTATATCCACATAAACGCAGATGCATCAGTCAGTTAATGAGACCAATTTCTATTTCAAATGAGTGACAATCTGAGGTGCTTAAAGTGGAACACTAGTCACAGTCCACGAGATAATTTGTGGCGTATACCCCTACAAAGCTGTATGTTCTTCATAACCTGAGGAGTATTATCATGCCGTATAAACTTTTTAATTATCAGTGAACTTTCAAAATATTTGGAAACCTCAAATGGACAGGAACTATGGCATTGAATGTGAGCTTTACTTTCTGTTAACCATACTGTTTGTTGAAAAGGTTAACATATACGTTATGTGATGCACATATAGTGGTAACCTCATGTATCGAGTGGAATAAAAGCGGCTGCAAAGTATTCTTTCAAAATCTTTTCTCATTTATTACAATTATTTTAAATGTTACTTATATGACTGTAATTCACTAGAAATCTAACAGTTATCCAATCAACAGATCAATTAACTTACTGTTTCCTAGATCGATCGTACGAGGTTTTAGGTAACAGTTTCCAGTTATTCCCGTTTGTGACTGGACGAAATGAATCAGTTGCAAATGAGTGACGTTTTCTTACTCTACATTTAGTAATATTGATGGCCTCCGGGTTTAGTTGTTCCTGGTAGTAATAACGCCAGCAATCTGGAGATTCTGAATTGTAAAAAGAGTCAAATTAAGAATGGTTATTGGTGGAAAACAATACAGTTTACCTGGATCGCCATTAGATAGCAAAGTACTGGACTGATGACGTCTTTTGCTTGCATTCAACTTCTTCAAACTGTGCTTCAAGGGTGAGACTTCATCTTTAGAGAAAAAACCTGACTGATCTCTTTTCAGAATTGCACAACTATTTTTTGTTTCAGTGAAATTAAGACTATTGGAGTTTCTAAAATCTTTGATTGACGCCAATTTTTGAGTATTAAATTCTTCATTATTGAAAATATCATCCAGTTCTTTGTCTTCAGATCTTGGCATACAACTGGGAGTTTGATTCATGTCATAACTGCGTAGATAACGAAATGAATTATATTTCCATCCTTTTTTATCTCCATAGTATCGTCTACTCCCTATGTGTTTGTCGTTTAAAAAGATGATATTCTCACATTCAGAAACGGAATTGAATTTTAAAACCATATCTTGGTTTTCGATTACATTATCATTTTTATTTGTATTCATGATTCTTTTCGAATAACATACTGTACGCCGAAAGCTTATACGTCCCAATGGTTCGTAATGTGTAATCAAGCGATAAGGTTTTCTGTGATCACTTACTGAAATTGGACATCCATTCAATTTACCTGAGACAGTTTTCTGACTGAAAGAGTTGTCACTGTCTTTTAGCTTGCCTTTTGGTATTATGGATTCCTCCAGTTTTTCGGTCTCTTCTGATATTTTGATTAAAACCTGAGTGTGTGTGGAACATCGACCTTCAGGGTTAACTGCAATACAGTCATAATCTCCATTATCTGATATGTTTGGATTACTAATCCTTAATTGAGTTGCAGTGTCCTGACACAGTATCTGTATGAAAGAGAATAAATGAAAGATTCTCTTATTTCAGTTTTTCAGTAAATAAGCAGAATTAAAAAGCCCTGAAAAGAAATGATGATACAAAGATGATACCTGCCATTTACATCATTTATTTTAAAATCGTTACTACTTTTCTATGTTACTGACTGTTGGTAGCGTGCTTTTTCTTAGTTTACTTTTTATACTCACGTAAACTTGCAATAAAAAGAGTTGATTTTTGTAGCTTAGTAGCTTACTAAAAAATCAGCTGGTTTTAGGGTTTAGCATATCACTGGAAGTTTACTCGACCCAAGTTTTACACAATAACCTATATGAGCTACTATAAATGGTTTGGTTGCAAACAAACATCGACGTGTATAATGGCAGGTATATAAATAACCAGACAAATAATTTTGACTTCATAGGAGTTTCACTAACATGATACATGTTATTTCATAAGCTAAAAAGCAGTCTGACTTAGAAAGCTTCATTACTATAGAATTAAATACATACAATAGTTTTGGTAGACTTTCAGTATTGTGCAAGGCAATAAATAAAAATAATTTCATATTCTAAGACTTGGTTGTATCTTGACATGGAAATACATACGGTTTATCTAGACAAAACACACACCTAGAATTGAGCTGTCTACATAAAACAGAATAAACTAAATGTTTCTGAAGAAAACTGCCTACAAAGGTGAACAGGAAGCTGTGACTGAATCCAGAAACTTACTGCCTAAGCTTTTGAAAACTAGTTTTTCCCGCCTTACCTAACACAGGGAACTCTTTCATTTATCATCATCATAGTGGTCTGGTAAATTTTATTCACATAACTGAAGAGAGATTGAAATATCTCAAATTGAAAAAAATAAACGATTCATCGGTCAATCTCACCTTGATTGAAATAAATATTTCATGTTTTACAGGTTTTATTTGTTTTCTCCTTGTAGGGAAAGGAGGATACTCATATATTTTGGAAGCTTCCTGCTGGTTTTCTCTAAGCATGAGTGCACGTCGCATAATAATATTCTCAGTTTAGTATGAAACTCTATTCCTAAAGGTTGCTCCTGACTGAACTCTACCAAGATAAAGACTCCTAATAACAGTAAAAGAATTACTATTACTATTCAGTGATGACTAAAAACTGCTTGAGATCAAGTAACTTTGCATCTAAACTCCTTAACTACAAGTTCATGAAATAACCTTCAGGTTTATGCACAGAACATATAGCCTATTCACGTAGATTTGCATTCTACTTTAAGTAATATCATAAAACCCACCTAACCTGCTTAACAATAAGTGACTGAGAGAATATGAGACTCACTGCTCACTAGTAGACCATCAAGGTAGGAATTGAGGCACAATTTCAGCATTGCCCTGTTTATGCAGATATAGTTTATTTTTACTTCATTTTCAAAACCCACTTTTTATTTTAATTCGAATTTCAATAAATATTGATATGAATTCCATGTAATATCAGGAAGACCGTACACTCTGTCACGCATTATCGTACTTATTATTCGCAATTGTCTTTTCCATTTTATAATGCATGTCATGACGCTTTATCCAGTAAATAAACCAAGAAATGCTTGTTGTTTCGGGAAACTTCAATTATGTTTATTTTTACAGGATGCTGACTCTTCGAAATGTAACGTAATGGAAAGTACTTATTTTCCCTAACGAAGAAGGTTATATTTTTGTGGGAGAATCTTAATAACAGAATGTCTTGAGTGAACGATGTAGTTTCCAAAAAGCATATGCTAATAGTGTATACTATATCTTTTGAACTGAAGCAAAGGAAAACTAATTGAGCCAATTCACGAGACTTACATCAATTCTATCACTTGGATGTATTTCAACAGAGTCCTTTTGCCAAATAAATACCACATCTTGTGCAGTTGGCTGAACATAGCAATACAGTAGAATTGGTTCGAAAATGAACAGCATTTCTTGATCAGCTGGGAAATTCTCTGCATTCTGGACAGGTTTGATATGATATTCAGATTTCAGCAAACCAATAAATTTTGGTGCTTCATTTAAACCGCTATGCTTTTTATGAAATGTTATAGCTTTGGCTGTTAATTCCTGATGATCAATGGAATTATTTGGACCGCTTTCCTTCAATGAACGAGGTAATGTGAATGACTTGCTCGATTCTTTAGTAACTGACTTTGTATTCATCTTAAAAGTACGACTGAACCATTGTTTGAATTTATTTTCATATCTGCTTACTGCATCTTCTTCCATTCTGTAAGTTTTAATACGAAAATAGGGTCATATGTATGTGTGAATAGCTAAAAAAGGTGAGTAACAAAGAAATCTGACTTCAAGCATGTAGTGGTACTGTCACGTTACTGAAAAGAGACCTGCACACCTATATCACTTTCTGAGTGCTGGCTCCATTGGCAAAATTACTTACCATCTCACCACAAGCTTATGTCCAAAGCTTCAAAACCAGGTTAAAACGAATGGACAGTCATGACGACTACATAAAGCTCCATATACCTTTCCGTGTTAGTAAACACAAATTTTAAGAATGTGGGTTTCATGAATGGTAAGTTAAAATTGTAATCCCTTTTAAGTATACTTCTACATAATTCTCAAATATTTACCAAATATGATTTCAAAAGCTAACCTCCATCTTCTATGGATTATGGAAAGTTGCTAAATGGGCTTTTTCCAGAATTAATTCAATAAATGAATCGAATCTACTCAATAGAAGATCCAATAGATTAGATTCAACTAACTGATCCTTTTTTCTGTGTAGTGAAAGTATTCTATTATATCACAGGTCTTCCGAATCATTGCATTTTAGTTATTGATTTCAAAGTTAGCAAGAACGTTACCAATAGTCAAGATATCGTTTCGGAATCAGATAACTGAATATCTCAAGACAAGAGTTATAGACACTACAAGGCAACTTCTTATGTGGCTAATTTAATCACATTTACAGAATGACTACAACCACAACTGTATCAAATGATAGCAGATAGAGTGGTATCAAAAACACTTTTTTAAAAATTAACATCAAGACTACTGAAGACGTAGATAAGTTAGTTCATTATCTAAGGAAGTGAAAAAAAGGAGAAATTCTATATCTTACAGAAAAAATTTAGTCTCATCTTTATAAATACTTTATGAATAAAACCAGAGTATAACTGGTATTGATTTATAAGGATACGCCTTGCGGTGATATGGTTGCAAAAGAAGTGAATGAAAACAAAAGACCATGAGAATAAATGTAAGGAGATATGACCATCAGAGACAAATCCACGAGCATTACTGCCAGGACAGGCTGTTTTTCCGTCCATGCAGCGACTCAAATAGTCCGGACCCCTTTTTAGTACTGTTGAAGCTGCATTCAACTCACTTTTGGTTACTCATTTTAGTGACAGTACATTTCAACTGTGGTTATCAACTCTTCTGAATTCTTTTTTCCTAACTTATTGATGAGTTCTGCCAGAAAGAAATCAAATGGAATATTCAATTTTCTCTTTTGTTTGAAAACAGTTTATTGGTGAGAAGTGACCAAAAATGGAAACCATCATTCAAGGTCATTCGTTAGGGTAGAAATATTTTCGTTTCAGATCTTGATTTATTCCCATCTGATTGGTTATCTCGGGGCATCATTTTCTGAGCAGAAGATGCATATAAATACTATTTTTTGTCAAACAAAATTGTTTTTCTCAAATAAGTTACAGGCCCGTCTTTTGTCTTTTGTTTTTCGCTCCTCAGCGAAGCATCGGGTGTGGGGGAAAATAGTCGCACCATTCGTATCCAGTCTAGTTGCGTTACTACTCGTTTTGTTTATTATTAGAACCCACGTCCTACTTCGACTCAGCCACATCAGTTATTGTAACTAATCTGAACACCCTATATAGAGAACTTAGAGTATACACCTACTGTTAATTTTTGCACCTTCATAATGAAATGATAGGCATGAGATTTATGAATACGTGTATACATGCTGACACATTTATACTGATGTGTCATCTTATCCATTCGTTTTACTTCGTCCAAGTCGTTTTTAAATGTTTTATCAGTGAGTTTAATTCCATTAAAGGTAAAGTTAATTTGAATATTTTCATGTAGTCTATTGAATCAATAATACAACTGATGTTCTGAAGAAATAGTGCAGTTCAATCTGTGCGATGTTTTTGTGTGTTATCTCTCAGCCATTTATGCACAACTTCATTGACGTTTTCCTAACTAGCATATTCCCTCATCTAGTGAAAAATTTAGCAGCTACCAAAAATAAATATACTTATTTTTGTGTCATTCCGGTTACATCATTGTTTTATTTCTATCTGAATGCAGTATACGTACTACTTTATATATCGACTGCATAATTATTTTATTTAATCAAACAATACTCAGCACTATTCAGATACTTCCATACTTTCTGAAATTAATAAATCAGTATTAGTGTAGAACAGTTTATACAAAGCACACTTCTTCTCTGTAACTCAGGCATGATAAGTGACTGACAACATTTCAGAACCTACATGGAATGTATCAAACAAGTGTGCATAAAGGAAGGAATTGGCATTATGGTTTGTTGATCCAAAATGGTAGTTCAGATTAGGATTTCATTTTACTGTCGTAAAAGCAACAGTCAGGGCCTGATGTGTGGAAACAAAAGATTCTAGCTCACTTTCTAGTTAACTAGGAAAATATTCCCTAGTTGGTTTGTAAGGATTTGTTGGTTTGAAAATTGATTTCATCAAGAAATGGTATATATACTGGATAGCTACTGAAAACCTTGATCACTAAACAGCTGTTGAATTATATTCTTTCACTCCTCACTAGTACGTACCCACAACATCAAAAGGGATTGAGCTTAGGAAGATGATATTTCAAGGCAAGATCCCTTTCACTGGGTCACTGCGTAAGAACCAAATTATCTAGCTTCTCCTACTTCCATCATTTTTCAACGCAGTACTACCATCCTTGAACGTCATTAGTGGACATCTTCTTCACTTTCAACTTTATGACTATATAGACCAGTTAAATATTAGAAACCAAGCTCGAAGAAAGTCACTAATACTTTCTGGATAGTAGTCAGTTATTGGTTTTTAAAAATTCATTGGTTTGTAATCACTCTTGATTTAGAAATTTGACTTACATAAACTAGAATGATGCATTGATATCAATATTTCAGAACCTATTTTCGACTAATTTATGTGGTAATTATTTCATTAACTTCCTACTATATGATAAAAAAAAATGTAATTTAACATAAATGAATGTTTATAGGGATTTGTTCACTGATTTCAGGTCAACAATCATGATAAACAGACATTAGATGAATAGCCATTGAAAACCTGGCAGGACTGGATAACCGTTTCGTCCCAGGATGGGAATACTCAGCAGTGTGCATCCATAACCCTGCTGGGGATCGAGCACAGGACCTTTAGGCTCCACAGCCAGCAAGTTAACATTGAGTCTTTAAGTCGGTAATCAACGGTTCATACCTAACTCTGTCAATTCACGATATAGCATGACTTCATTCCAGTGCCGTCGTTGAGTAACTGTCCTTGCATACAACCTGCATGCCATCATTGGCTCGCCAACTGATGTCAGTCTATAATGAATATCAACGTGAGATAAGTGTATTTCTCAAGGATATTGATAGTTCACTTTGGTATATATCTGACAGTTTTTCTTGACCACTTCAAGTGAAATATTTCAATTGTAATGTTTGGAATCTGTCATTAACATCTTAAAAAGAGCACTTATTCATAGAAAGTAATCTTGCCTAGTTAACTCGTTTGCCAGTTACTGCCCGGGCCTAGGCACGGATAAGGAGCAAAAGTTCGGCAAGCAGACAGGTTAATTCGTTCCTTTTGTTAGATCAGCACATGAAATACAACCACAACTGTATCAAATGATAGCAGATAGAGTGGTATCAAAAACACTTTTTTAAAAATTAACATCAAGACTACTGAAGACGTAGATAAGTTAGTTCATTATCTAAGGAAGTGAAAAAAAGGAGAAATTCTATATCTTACAGAAAAAATTTAGTCTCATCTTTATAAATACTTTATGAATAAAACCAGAGTATAACTGGTATTGATTTATAAGGATACGCCTTGCGGTGATATGGTTGCAAAAGAAGTGAATGAAAACAAAAGACCATGAGAATAAATGTAAGGAGATATGACCATCAGAGACAAATCCACGAGCATTACTGCCAGGACAGGCTGTTTTTCCGTCCATGCAGCGACTCAAATAGTCCGGACCCCTTTTTAGTACTGTTGAAGCTGCATTCAACTCACTTTTGGTTACTCATTTTAGTGACAGTACATTTCAACTGTGGTTATCAACTCTTCTGAATTCTTTTTTCCTAACTTATTGATGAGTTCTGCCAGAAAGAAATCAAATGGAATATTCAATTTTCTCTTTTGTTTGAAAACAGTTTATTGGTGAGAAGTGGCCAAAAATGGAAACCATCATTCAAGGTCATTCGTTAGGGTAGAAATATTTTCGTTTCAGATCTTGATTTATTCCCATCTGATTGGTTATCTCGGGGCATCATTTTCTGAGCAGAAGATGCATATAAATACTATTTTTTGTCAAACAAAATTGTTTTTCTCAAATAAGTTACAGGCCCGTCTTTTGTCTTTTGTTTTTCGCTCCTCAGCGAAGCATCGGGTGTGGGGGAAAATAGTCGCACCATTCGTATCCAGTCTAGTTGCGTTACTACTCGTTTTGTTTATTATTAGAACCCACGTCCTACTTCGACTCAGCCACATCAGTTATTGTAACTAATCTGAACACCCTATATAGAGAACTTAGAGTATACACCTACTGTTAATTTTTGCACCTTCATAATGAAATGATAGGCATGAGATTTATGAATACGTGTATACATGCTGACACATTTATACTGATGTGTCATCTTATCCATTCGTTTTACTTCGTCCAAGTCGTTTTTAAATGTTTTATCAGTGAGTTTAATTCCATTAAAGGTAAAGTTAATTTGAATATTTTCATGTAGTCTATTGAATCAATAATACAACTGATGTTCTGAAGAAATAGTGCAGTTCAATCTGTGCGATGTTTTTGTGTGTTATCTCTCAGCCATTTATGCACAACTTCATTGACGTTTTCCTAACTAGCATATTCCCTCATCTAGTGAAAAATTTAGCAGCTACCAAAAATAAATATACTTATTTTTGTGTCATTCCGGTTACATCATTGTTTTATTTCTATCTGAATGCAGTATACGTACTACTTTATATATCG